CAAACCTCTCGCTCACAAAAATCTCCTTCAAGTTGATGTCCAGTACTGCATCGACTGAGCCAATACCACACGGACCAGATTGAGGACGCATTGGAGTTTGTGAACGGACTGGTAGCCCGGATTCAACAATGTCTGGTGTTGTCATGCGCGAAGGCATTAGGTCTGGATAATCGACAATGTGGTCATTCTCGAACGTGCCTTGAAGAGGAAATAAAAGGTCAACTTAGCGATTGGTCTTAGACGACTTTAACAACAAGACACAACGAGAATATTATCAATAGGGCCGTCAAAAGGTCTTAAACACTGGAGGGCAATGCAAAAGGGGGGCACATAGGACATTGCAAATATCAAAGTTATTACGTGTATTTGATACTGGCATCTTACGACAAAACTTTCGTAGAATGTTTTTGCAACTAAGTCGTAAGCCATATCAGCATTTCACTATTCTGGATTTCTTACACCAGATAAACTCGAGGAGTGCTATTTATCTCCGTGACATCAACTTTGACGGAGAGACAATTTCCTTCGTTACAGAGTCGAGCGAGTTCGTTATCAGGGAATTTTTTTGCAGGAGTAACTAAAAGTAACAGTAGCTTGGTCAAGTTACTATTTGTTAGGAAACTTGTGTTACCCAGAAACTGTTAATTTTTACGGCTATGAATAATTAGCTTCTGAAAATATTTTTTTATGATAGGCAAAAAGACAGATTTGCTGTAACGAATGTACCATGATCTAAAGGAAATGCTGGATTATACATATTTAACTAGAAGTACTTAATTTGCGCAGCAGTAAACAAATGTTATTGAAATGGAGTTGATCCCATTTCAACATGGTTTCTTTGCTACGGCATAGTAGCTGTTTTCAACCAATTAAATAGCCTATATCAAAGAAAACTAAGATTATCCAAAAATAATTAAATTAAAGATCTGAGGTACCAAGAATATTCTTCACAAATCATCTCAGTAAAATGCATAATTTCATTTTGTTTAAAATATTCACCAAAGCCATAAATTCTGAACCAAAAATTCGCATATATGCAACACTAAGTTGTTTTTCATTTATATAAAGGGAGGAAAATAAAGAGGTTCTAAAAATTATAAGAGAAGCCAACCACACTCCAGCATCAAGAGCCAAGGCAAGGTAGCATTTAGGAAATATTTGTGAAGTACTCAAGGGATTCCATTTTAACCTCCTTTGATAAATGTCAGGGCTTCAGTAACCAAATGTCTGTTTTTAGATACAATTATAACTGCTCTTTAATCTTATTATTTTGACTGTATCTGCAGGGGTGTCGTGGCTGGGGAGACATGGGGGCCCTGGCCATCCTCTGCCTTCAAAATTTGACGGGTTTACGGAAAAATCATTGTTTTTTCAGAAATTTATCGAACTTGAGCTGTGGGTAATTCTCAAACTTCTAGCAACATAAATTACTTGGGACTAATTATTTACCATAATTACGAGGGGCAATCAAAAATTACTATATTTACACAAATCAAAATGATTTCTCAGGATTTACCCATTCCTACCATATAGTGATTTGCTGCTCTGATTTTGTCAGTTAAAATCCGAATCTTACAAAAGACCAGATAAAAGTATGTTTTAAATATCTTTCCAAAGGCAAAAGTTATGAGGTTTTCTGCCCTACTCCCCCCTACACACTTAAATGAACTGCTTCTATTTTATTCTTATAAATCAAATAAAATTTTGTTGGAAAATTTCTCTTTCTGGCCTCCTCTAGAATACATTCACCATAATGCTAACTGTGTATATGCAATTATTTTTACTAAATATGTAATTGACTTTTAGCAAACAATTGACTATTTAGTTGCTGGTAAATCATTATATAGCTACAAATACCTTTGAAAACAGAACCATTCTTAAACATGAATTCACCATTGCCAGACTTAACATTTTTGACCCATTGACCAGAGTATTTTGCCCCACTGGCATAGTAGAAAGCACCAAAACCATCACGTTGGCCATTAACAAAATCACCTCTGTATTCATTTCTGATTGGGTACTGTGAGGCAGTAACTCTCTTTGAATACCATATATATTTTCCTGTGCCATTCTGGACTCCATTCACCCATTCTCCATCATACTCTTCTCCTCTGTCAAACCAATGCATCTTTCCTTTTAAAACAAAAATGATCAAATGCACATAGCAGTTGTGAATTCTGCCTGATTTCCTGAGATGACTATGAATCAATAATTTAGAATTCACATTATTAGGGGGGCTTAATTAGGTTTTTTGGAAAAGAATATACATTGTTCTTGACAAATGTTAGAGATATTGCTTAAAATTATGACAGTTGGACTGGACACAACAGGGAAAGCATCTTCTGGCAGTTCCAAAATTTAAATCTGCCTATAATATTTATAAATATTATGCTCTTACCCTTTCCATGTCTCATGTTATTGAGCCACTGGCCTTCATAGATATTGCCTGATTTATATTTGTGCACACCAAAGCCAGATCTATTTCCCCTGTCCCATTCTCCATCAAAGTAAGACTCAAACTTCCCATCAAAATAAAGTACACCTTTTCCTTGTCGTAACCCATGTTCCCATTCCCCAATGTACATTGATGGGCATGTTCCACAGCGGTATGTTCCAGTTCCATGTCTAAAACCATCCTTTACATCACCTTCATACATACTACCATCTGGCCAAGAATAGACACCTATAAGGAATTGTTGGTTGTTTTGAGGCATTGTTTGGATCTTCTGGAAATTCATTACTGAACATTTAGTAATATTCATATGCTAGGAGTAGAGGGTTGAATCAAAACCTGTTAAGTCTCATTAGAGGAACATTTGAAAGGATTACATTTAACATTAGATTATGAAATCAGAAATTATAGAAGAAAATGATGAGAACATATTTTGGCACTGTAGTGCTAAAGTACCTTATGATGTTTTAGGCCAAAATTTTGGTGCAGCACACAATATAATATAACATATATCAAGTAGGCTATGAAAGGGGGGGGGGGTGTAATAGTCAGAGACATGCAATATGATTCTTTATACTCGAGAACATGCTATACCAGGAATCAGGAATCAAGACTTTAAAAAAGCTGTGACATAGAAATATGTGATTGTGCAAAAAAATTGGTAATGTGTTAATTCTCACTCCATTACACAAACCTGGAGGAGAAGTTCGCATTAGAGATCTTAGACGGGAAATGCACAGCTTCCACCCTGGCATGTGGAAAAACTGCACAAATTATTAAAGTTTTGATTTATTAATTTGCTGTTTCCTAAAAATGGATTTGCATTTATCATAGCCTCTAAAAATTATGCTTTTACATCATCAAAATCTTAGCTTATAATAAGCTTTTTTATGGAGATTCTCTTTCCAATATCTTTATTTCATGGTTTTCAGAGTCTTTTCCTAAATCCACTTTCCTGGACTATCAAAGTAATTTACAAACCTTTGCCACAAATTGAATTGTCTAAAAAATCCCCAGAGTATGTAGTTCCATCAGCCCAAAAGTAAACGCCATGCCCGTTCATTTTACGGTTCTTTAAGAGCCCTTTGTAGACATGCCCTCCAACAAAATTGACAGTTCCTTCACCCTCAAAGAAACCATTTTCATCAACACCACCTTCATAGTTTTCGACAATCAGCTTTGTCAGTACTGGCTCTACACGCATAGCATCATATGGTGGAACGGGGCTTTCCTGCTCTTCTTCTTTAATTGAATTGTCATCATCCTGATTTAAATTTCCATTCTCTGACTCTGTTTCATCGAGGGGCCTAGACTCCTCCTGATCCTTCTTACCATGATCCTCTATATGAACTGATGCTTTGGTGCTGCTAACTGAATTGTGGATAGTAGTCTTTTTCTTGCCTGGATGCTCTGGCATATTTTCAGTTATATTCACATCAAATTAGCCTAGATTATAAGCTTTTGATTGTAATGTTGATGTTACACATATTGATTGGCGGCCATGTTGTGCTTTCCTGTTTGTTGTCATGACACTAGTCTCGTAAAGACCTTTGTGTATAAGTCGGACCAGTGAACCAATAATGTTTCTACTCTAGGTTTTGCTGTTAATAATCGCTTTACTTAGCTGTGTATTTACTTCAAACCTCAATGTATTTTGTTGTCATTGCCAGTGCGTACCCAGGGCTGCAGCAGTAGGGTGGTCTATGGCGCAGGCCCCAGAAACTTTTTTGGACCCCGCCCTTCAAACAAATGCGGGGTAAACGCCCTTTTTGCAAAAAAGTGGGGGTCCGGACCCCCCTATTCCCCCCTTGGGTACACCACGTATTAGTGCAAAAGAGATATGGATTACCGCCAGTTAACGAGCGACTTTCAGGCAAACAGGGCTAGGACCAGACAACATCAATATCGCTCTTCTAAGATAGTTGGCACTTCCACAAAGAAACCAACCCTTTCCTAAATGGAAAAGATTTTATTAAGTATGAACCGTAATCCAGACCAGCCAATCTGAACATAGATGAAATAGGGGGTTACCAAGATTTTTTGAGAAAAAAATAGGGAGAGATCAAACATAGGAAAAATTAAGCAAGGTATGCATGTTAATGTAGCTCGTCAAAAAAATAATCAGTCTTTTCTCCAGATGTCCAATAGCTGCTGTTTTGGCTGCTTCAAAAAATATCCTCTTCAGGTACCCACCTATGGCAAGGAGAAGGAATTTTTGACTAAGGGTGATGTGATTGCATTGCCAGAGAACAAGAGAGCGACCCAGGTTAGAGTAGCTGCCAGTCTTATTCTTCCTTTCAATGCTGAACAGCCGTTCTACCTTTGCATTGTCATGTGGTAGTACCAAGACCATCTTTCAAATTTCAATAGGGTATTGAGCCGAGACTATCAATTGTTGGCAGCAACTTAAATCACTTTCAATTTGACCGAGGTATCTTCATTTTATTTTAGTGCTACCAAAGGCTGTTACATCCCTCCAGAACACACAACGAAAAACTTATGAATTTTCTTGTAAAAAGGCTTTGGTTTCCGCAACAATCAACTGGTTCGCTTATAACTACCATAACTGTTTTCAGAAAGTCTTAAAATCAGGAGAAAACTAGGAAAATTGGAGGATGCTTTGAAATCGGGAAAAGATACCGGGAGGACGGGGGAAAGAGGCAGAATTCGGGGGTTTTGGCAAAATCGGGAGTCTTGGCAAAAGTGGGAGAGGTGGCAGGTCTGCATAATCCTCTCAAGGTTTTTGCTATATTTTAAGCACAATAATGCCTGTTTTAGCATATTGGAGCAAGTTACATTTACGTAAACTGGTAACATTTTGTGGATTTGTGTCATTTGTAATTTCGTGGATTCGTGGATTTGAGGATTCATTGATTCGTGGAATCAAGGTGTCATTTCAAGAGTGTTGAACTGAAAGGGGAGTCGCCGAAAAGCTCTTTAAAACGTCAGTATACTAGGTCTAATCATGAATATAAGGATTTAGACATTTAGTCATTAGGCAAAGAGACAGTCCTGAGTCAGTACGTTCAGCACAGATAAAGTACATTAAGACAACCGCACACGAGTCTAAAAGTGGAGCCTTGGTCCAGAACTTTTTTAGTCACGCCCTTTAGAACGCCGGTAACGCTCTTTTCAGAAAATACTTGCCTTTTTTCATCCTTATTCATAAGCAGTCAGATTCAGAGAAGATTTCAATTACTTTGAAAATGGATATAATTCGCTTGAAGATAAGCATCAAGTTCACCAGGTTATGAATTAAAACTTTTAATTGAGCAAGATAAAACACCAACAAAATGAACAGAAAAGGTTCCCAGGATTTGGTGTCTTTGAGATTCATTCACTGCTTTTGAAAGGCTTTAACTCAGAAATCATACAATTTGAGAATTTTCATTCTTGCGTGTAATGGAGTTGTAAAACTTTTGAAGGCAGAAACTCTAACAAATTTATTCTATGATTATTTTGTCAGCTTTTCGTAGATAGATGACCTGTTAACATCTGTCTTTCTCCTTGTGTTGGCTTAAGACTGATCAAGGGACAATTCATTGGTTTGGCATTTATCGATCAGGCACCGCGCAGCCATTAGGTTATAGTCCCCTCACTTTTTTGCAATAATAGGTTAGAAAACTTTTTTGGAAAGTTTCTTCTTCACTACACTGGAAACCTTTTTTGTTCATTTTCTTGGTGTCTTTCTTGATGTTTTATTATCCCCAAGCTAATTTTATCTATTTTTATAGCTATTGAAATCTTCTCTGAACCAAACTGTTTATAAAAATTCAGTAGAAATAAGCAATTATTTTCTAAAAGAGGCGTTCTCCGAATTTCTAGAGGGCCTAGCCTAAAAAACTTTTTGGTAACACCCTTTTCAGCCCTCCTACATTTAAACTGGTGCGCGGTCCCTGTTATTGATAGCCACGCCTAGAAATATTATCATCCCATACTTAATAGAATTAGCAATATTAAACCACTGTAGGCAGAATATGTCTTAATTCGAGGAATATATCAAAAGTTTATGACAGTCTTTAGATAAAGATTTTAATCATTGGAAAGGTCATTCCAACGAAATGTCGAGTCTAGATTTCTCCAATATCTTGATGCTGTATCAAGTTTCATTTCATTTTGTTTCTAACCAGTCGCTGAATTTAAATGCTACAAATTTCAGCATTAGAGTTCTGTAATTGTTTCCCCAGTTGTGAAGGCGTTTTCTGGCGTTCTCGCCTTGCAAACCAAATTGGAATCTCAGTTTTTTAAACTGCTTTGTTAAAAGCAAGCCATGTCATTGGTTAGCAGCATCGATTTGTCGGTCAACTGTGGCGCGCGAAATTTGCACTGGTCCGTAGTTTATTCTTGGCGAAAAACAAATGTTTGTGTTGCTGCTGTTGCATTCAACAAAAAGTGGGCAGTCAAGCCTCAATCAAGATATTGGGGTTTTATCAGAAGATGTCTGGGAAAAAGCCTCGTCGTGTCCCTTCGGATCTAAAATCAGTACAAGATGAGAGACTGACATGCCGTCATATTCAAACTTTGGTGCTACTGCAGCAGACAACGGATGAAAATGAAGAACTGAAAAGAAAAGTACAAATTCTAGAAGTAAGTTCCTTGTATATCATGGTCAGATCTTGAACGAACTTGTAACTCGACAAGTAAAAAGTGCCTTAAACGTGCAAATCATACAAAGCAAATTGCAATGCGGTACCTAATTCATTTTAAAATATTTTCTATACACTTGATGGTTTGACAATATTTTTTGTAACACAAGTTTTGTCTTTGAACGCTTTTTTCATCCTGGAGAAGTGATCTTACTTACTAAAGGCACTGTTTTTTGATGATTTTCTAACGATAATTTGAAAGTAATCGTTAGTGGAGCTATCTATACAATTCTTTTTCCTTTGCAGAAAGAAATCATGTCTTGTCAAGAGCTCCATCAATTAGCACGTGATTCCAAAAAAAGGATCCAGCAAATGAAGGAGGAGTGTAGCACTGCTGTTGAATCTAGCTTAAATGAGATGAAAAATTCACATGCCAGAGAGGTACTTTTCAAGCTAGATACACTTAATTTCGAAAAAACTTGCAAGGTTGCTAGGCAGATTCTTTAATAGTGTAACACTTTTCTTCAACATCTCAACTGCAAGAGTACTCTAAAACTCCATTTGAACCATTTTTAATTTTTTACTCAATAAACTGAAAGAACATTATAAAACACCTCCAATTTTGCTTGAACTGAAAGAACATCATAAAATATCTCTAAAACTTGTGCTGGGCAAGCACAAACATGTAGCTTTTCCATATCAAACATCAGACTTATAGATGTACTTCTTTGGTGCACTAAGTTGACCAGAATCCTATTTCAGGTGCACTTTTCTCTACCAGACTGGCTTCCTTATTTGTCTTCATGGTCTAAGACCCAAGGGATTTTGCCAAACATCTTTCACCCAACCCCCACACTTTTTTTACCCCAAGTTGACATGCAGCAAAAGTAGCAGATAGTAGTGGGAAACAGACATTTTGACTAACCTGCAAGTACAGTGAATTTAAGATTTTCTTGAGTGCTGCCTTTTCTCTTCTCTTTCTTATTCAATTCTTGAAGCTAAATAAACTCAGTTACAAAAGAGCTTCTAGTAGATTCCCTGAGATTTCATTCATTGTATCTTCTTATGTGTTAAAGTAGTACTCATTTTAGGCTGCTGCTCATACCAAGAGGGATGCTGTTTAGATGTTAGATTTTTTTCCAGATTGCATGCAACAAAATTAAAACCAGGTTGTTGAAAAGAAATCAATTTGTTCCATGCTTTTACAAAGAGTAAATTTTCAGTACTCTACCTCAGATCAATATGAAGACATTTCTTCACCATCACCATTACCATTGTCATCACCATCTGCTTAATAATTAATTTTGTGGGTAGGGAGGTTCATTTAAAAGGAACACTTATTGGAATTTTGACTGTTTTAGAGGTGTGCTCTTTTGAGCAGGGTGCTAATGCAAGGAGGCGGTTGCTTATTTGAAGGAAGTGTTGGGGAACATTTCCATTTCTGCCATTGACTGTACACTGAGCCCTGACTTTTTCCAACTCACTCAGCCTGATCTGCCTCATTAGGATGCAGTGCATTGTTGCTTGGCCTCTACAAGACCAATATTGTCCATCCTTGCCTTAGCTACTGCTTTATTTTCTAACCTACAAGGATCTTTTTATAATTTATTAAGAAAACAACTAATTATAAAGGATATCTAGAGTATTTACACCCTCCTGTTTCTTTTGATGGATGAAGAACATTCAACTGTTTTATATTTTTCAGTATGGAAAACTCCTTGATGCAAAGAACCAACTAGCAGCTGCTAGCAGTGAAAAGCAAAAGGAGGTATGCCATCAATTAATTACTGAAGTTTTCTGTTGTCTGTTTTGTTGAATTTTCATGATGATAAATGCTAGAAATGCAATCAAATATTTCCTCTTTTTAGCTTGAAATGAAGATCAGCTATCTTGAAAGTAAGAACATGGAGCTAGAATCTCAGCTAAGCAATCATTTGATGGAGAAAAGAACAGTGGAGGTAAATATTAACAATTTTAATCTCTCCTTCAATATTTGCACAGTTGAAGACATGCAAAAGAGGGATGTGAGTATTTGTGAGAAATGACACCCCTTGCTGAACAGCTTGTTAGCAAATATCATTAAAGTTGGATATTTTCAGCAAATTATTGACAGTTTTTAAAGAACCAAAAAATACTACTGCTACTGGTGGAAATAAAATATTTTTACAGTCATGTTATCCCTACAAACTACACAGCCTGGTCAACCGCAAAAGGAACATTTTAGCAATATCTTTGATGAAAATGTTTTGAACACCCTAATGACATACAAATGTCAAAATTCAAACATCACTCAAGGCATAGCTTGCTTCAATGCATTGCTGTATGCATTGGTCTGAACATGGACTGTCATGGTTGTTCCTGTTATGAATGTTAGAAAGGGACAAAGGTGAGTGCCTACATCATAGTAAAACATAGCCTATGTCATAGACCCTCCCTTCCAAACCTATCTTTGTCAGTGGCGTAGCGTGACTTTTTCGACTGGGTATTCTCTATTAAACAAAAGGGTGGGGCAGGGTGTGGCTTGATGGGGCTTGATGAAAATAGGGGGATAATAGGATAATTAAAAGGACTAGCTATTGACATTTTATCTAATTTTCTTTTTGGTTCGGTTGGCAAGTACTGCACTGTCAGGGCATTACTATTTTATCTTGCTATGATGAAAACGATACTTTGCTGAAGAACCCAACGCAAATATACTCTTCGAACTCATACATTGCATCAAATTACCACTAAACCATTTCATCAAAAGTAATTCAAATCAAAACATATCATTGAAAGCCAGTAAAATTTTACTGGTCGAAATATGTCCCAATAGTTGTTGTTGAATCGTCTAACATTTGCACTGATGTAAAGAGGAAGTAACTGTAAACACCTACTCTTAATACCTCAATACATAAGGGTTTTCGAAAGTTTCAAAATTATTCACATAGGGCGTTACATGAGTTATAAATGATTTTGTGGTATGCAGTATAGACTTTTTCTTCATGGCCTAATCGTGATATTTTCAATACAAGTTAATATTTGAAAGAATCGAAGGTAATGAGATGAGACTGCACAATAATGCAAATAAATGCGCTCGAATAATGCAAACAAAATAGGCCAACAAGATAACTGAATCACCAGGCAACTTTAAGGATATTATCCAGGCCTATCTGCATTTACTTTAATTCTATCACATAATACAAACAGAAACATCCCTGATTGGCAAGCAATAACAAATTGGCATTTCAAGAGGGAACAGATCTGAGTCAGTGTAGTATTATGTAGCAGCCTACCTTTCCTTTCAACTTTGCTGTTGGTAATTTAAGATTAGGGGTCAAATGAGAGAATGATTATGAAACAGTAATACAGACATTGCAATAGTTTTTTTAATTAAGTCATGTTTACTGTTATCGATGCAGCTCCATCACTCCAACCGCTCCGCTCCGACGTCCATTAACTGTTTTTATCGATCTCATAAAGAGACTATTTTGAACCAACTTTGAGGCTGTACGCTGCATATTTCTCAGCGTACAGAACCATTGTTTTAGCTGATTAACGGCAAATATTATTCATGGAAAGGAGCATTTTGATTGGTTAAAGTACCGTCTAGGGTATTCACTGCGTATTCATGACCGATCTCCATACAACATGAAGTAGCTCAATCTTCAAAATTAACTTCAAAGATCTCCCAGCTTCTCTATGCTTCGCAGCGTTATTGTTTCTATGAATTTGGTGATATTTTGTACTTGTACAAAATGTAGAATATCGGAGGTAACGATTTCAACCAGAATCAATAGCCCCAAAACATTTTTTACTTACTACAATTATACGTCGTATTAATATTTTTTCTGAGAAATCTCAGGGTATTCACTGAATACCTTGAATACCCGGACGCTACGCCACTGATCTTTGTTTGGAAGGGGGGTCTACGGCGTAGGCTAAGTAAAACAGGGCAATGCAAAAAATTAAATGATGATTGCCAAAACCTAATGACGCCCTAATCTAATTAAAAAATTGAAGTCAGTGTTAATGAAAGGTACCTTTTGATGTTAAGCTTCCCATTGCATATGATTCCTCTATAGCCAAAGTGGCCTTTTATGGCATCACAAAAACTTAATACAAGGAAAATTATTCACAAAGATGTAGCACCCATACTCAAAATATTCTGATACACATGTCAAAAGAAGCGTGCTGCATTTTGTTTAGGGCTTCACTCTAAAAGTGTCCTCTGAACTATTTTTTAGCTTTCAAATTTTCGTTAAACTTTGGTTAAGATCACACATGTAAAAATGATTTGAAGAGAAAGATCAAAAGTGAAAAGAAACGTTGTTGAAGGGATAAAATGCTGCTTTATGAAACGAAAAAGTAAAAATCAGATTACGTCATAAATCAAGCCGAAACGAATTATAGCCAGTCATTTCAATGGCGGCGAACTATCTGCTAGGATGATGATTGCCTTTCGAATCATAACAAATGGAATTCAAGTATCTGTCATGTTCAAGAAATTACCTGCTTTTACACACTTTATTTACTTTGTAGTTTTCATTTTGTTCCGTTTTCAAAGTAAATTTTCATTGCTTTATCCATCGACAAAAATAAATCCTCTGGGCTAGAAAAACTCAAAATCCTAATGTCTCATTGGTTAAGAGAGAGGCTTGACTAGCGGGATCGCCTGGTTATGATAAACACTATCTTAGGTGTTCTGTCAGAGAACAACAGTTTAAGGAGGAGAATGGTCGAGGTTAATCGAAAAAGAGGTAGAAGCTATCAAAATATTTCGGTGGGCAGCTAAAAAAAGCCTAATGCTTGGTTCGTTTGACATTCAGTAGAAATTTTTCAAAAAAGTATCTCTAGCATTATCTTCTAGCTCAGCATTTCATTGAAGAAGAAATTTCAAGATATACCACACTGACATGCATACCCAAAAGGAAATCTGTTTGTCGGTAGCATGGTAGTCTACAACCTTAACGGGATTTTTCTTGCCACTGCTCCATTTCCGAGTCTAGATAATGCTTGATGAATGATCAGTTTTCAGGAGGATGTTCTGCTCAAAAATTCAAAGGCTAAAAGCTTTTGTGTCACTAATAATCAGCTTAAGTGTGACTAGATATTGTATCAACTTTAAGCTGATAAGAAAAGAAGATCACAACCAGAGTTGGGTGATTGCTAAGCTTTTTTTATTGATTTTTAGTATTTTGTATTTTGTTTAGATATTTTTCAAATATGATTTTATGTCTCTTACTTACAGTCTCTTGAAGAAAAATTGGAAGAAGCTTGCTCCAAGCTAAGTCTTGTCAAGGATTCAAAAATGCAAACAGAACGCGAACTTGCATCAAAAAGAAAGTTAGAAGATGGCTATAACGAAGAGAAAGATAAATATGAGAAGAAGATCAGTGCTCTCGAAATGAAAGCTGAGGAACTGAGTGTAAAGCTTGAATTAGAGGTGTCTTCGAAAAAAAAGTTATTGGAACAGAACAATCTGCTACAACAGATTGAAAAGCAAAAGTGCCAAATAGAAGCTCTTTTGAAAGAAAAACAGCGAATCGAACAAGACTTTGAGGAGATATCTTCACAAACCGAGGAGAACAAAATGAAGATGATTTCTTTACAATATAGTAATTCCATGCTTGAACTAGAGAGAGATGCTCTTAACCAGTCATCTATTGATCTCAAAACAGAGGTGGAATATTTGAAAGAAAGGGAAGCATCTCATAAGACCTCGTGTGGAGATTTCAATGAGTATGTTAGTATAAAAAGGGAGTTAGCGATTTTGAAAGAAGAAAATTTGAAACTCAAAAGCTCAAGACCGAGAACTGAACTTAGGACATTAAAATCTATCGAACCCAAAGTAAAAGGTCGACCCCTGAAATCTGCTCCTGATCCAAAGAAGACACTTCAATCCCAAATTAAAGGTTAATTGGAATTGTGATTTATAAGTTGACCTTGGCTTGTTTAGATTCTTACATATTGAAAAAATTTCAAACGTTTGTTCGAAATGTTTGCGATTTATTTTCTTTAAATCTGGTAGGAAAACGGTCATCATTATTAGAAGCTACAGATTTTGACACTTCTAAGAGCGTGAAATGGCACGGGAAGGGCTAAATTTATATCGGGTTTTTCATCAAAAATTTGTCTGGAAATGAGTCAAGGCTGCCAATACTTCAGCAGGTATTTGGCCAATAAATACCTAGAGATTGCCAAAGAGGAAGTTAATTCCTTCTGCCAATAAAGCAGCGGTGGTTTTATTTTCGTTTTGACAAATAAAAGTTGGGAGTCAACTTCTCCTTGGTTGGAAACAACATAAATGCTTAAATAAAAGAACACCTTATCTTTCCTTGTAACCTTAAGCTGTATTAAGGATGCCTGTAGGAATGTCAAGCGGAAAGGGCCAACCGCACTCTTTTTTAAACTTGCAGTTTTTTCTTCGAGAGAGTTGACCATTTTGCAACCTGATAACTGTTATCATTAATTAATTTTACGATGTGACATTTACTGCAATTACATAACCTCTCTACAATAAATCTGGCATGTTACCATAAAACATAACGTGTTCAATTATCTGAAAATAATTAAAAACTAGAACGGCAAGTGAAGCTTCACGTAAAAGATGCACACAGAAGTGTAACGTTGGTGCAATTAATTTGGGGGTACTGAAAACATATTACCCCGAAAGATTTAGGATTCGGCACTAGCCTCCCCTTGGAAACCTATTAATCGGACAATGAGGTTGGTTAATTCATCTTTGGCTAACTATAGTCTATTTGGTATCGAAACTTGTGACTTGCACGAAAAGAGTGCTGTATCGGATGCATTAAATGATATAACATAAAAACAAAGTGCATACATTGCTAATGCTAAATGAGACCAGCTCTAAGAATATTGTTCTTGGTCGATGCAGTTGATAGGTGACGTTAAAATGCTAGTTATTTCTAATTATTGCTAGTTTCTAATCCATAGTAAGTCGGTAGGGGCACCTCCCATCCGTAAAAGAGACATGCACTGTGTCTGGCAGAAAAGTGGCGGGGACGCATGGGCGCTCAATCTTTTCTACTAACAAATGTCTATTTATAAATCTATACCTGCATATAATTGCGTGTATAAAAAGTAGGATATTACCTTTACGACTTTGCAAATATGTGTTAGGCTATTTTAATCGTGACCAATGCTAGCTAAAATGCTTCTAAAAGAAGAAGCACCCTGCTTTGAATTTTTTGCCAAAACTTTCAGCTGCACTTTATTTTTGCGAACATTTTCAAAAGACACAGATAAAAATATTATAGATAACAAAATGACGGGGCAAACACATGTAAATATAGCGACGGAATTCTCTTCACTGAATACTGGATGAAAAGTGAATACTGGTTGAGAAACGGCCCAATTTCATTGTAAAGGTTCCTTTGGGTACGCGTCCACGAACATTGCTTGCGTCGTGCTCTCTTTCATACCACCATAATTTTCAAAATAATAATTAGATTCATTGCTTCTTTGCTGAGGCGAATTAAACCTTCATTGATAAAAATGCATCAATTTCGTCATGAAAAATCAGTGGAATTTTTTCTGTTTGCGCATCAAATGGATATCTATTTAGTGATTGTTTGTGCATGAAAAGAACTTCAATTTAGTGATTGACTTTTCTAGTTGATCTATCATTTCACAGCTTCATCTTTCCCGCCAACCTATTTTCACTAGAATCCTCTAAGATGCAAATTTTATCATCTCATAATGCCGGAAACATAGCTGTTTATGTGAAATATTTCTGGTAAAAGAAAAGGTTGCGATACATCTATTAAACTGCCTCTCCTTGTGGTGTGAACATTAAAGTGAAAAATATGGTCTTATAGAATTTTTTCTTGTATTCCGCCTGTGTGTTAATTTTGTTCTGGATCCTAAAACATGCGCTCTTGTGGAGCAAAGTTAAACTGTGGCAGATAGCTATGCTAAAACGACTCTGCTTAGGCCTGATTACCGTATTTGCTATGCTCTGCTGTTTTGTGCTCTTTTATAATTTGGTGCTTTTAAATACTTGGTAATCATATTTACTTCTTTTAAGAAATCAAGCGCCAAAAAGAAACTTAAACTGTCGCACAAAACTGGAAAACTACCTGGAAAACGCTATAGAAGATTATTCTTTCGTTCAAATCAAGGATGCATCAAGCATATTTCATTGTTAAAAACATTCGGTAACATCAAAGTAGATGACGTAATTCACGAATAATGTGTTTTCCAGAGCAGGTTCACTTCTTATCTGACCAAAAGGGATTCCGCAGGGCTCGTGTTTGAGACTCTAGTTTTTCATGAAACGAGAGAATGATTTGAAAAACTGTCTGGAAAGCATGATGCCAAGTCTATATGCCTATGATGTATCTATAACACCTTAATCAGAGAACCTGTACAAACTCAAGACAAATTTGGAACATGTGCTTGAAAACACTTCGTTTGATGAAGACCAGTCTTTTGCACCAACAAGTGAATGCATAGATCAAGGTCACAGGAGACCGCTTAGTCGTACAGGTAATGACATTCTTAATGTGGCACTCAAAAGCAATGTTATCAGAAAGGTCGTCAAGTTCAAGTTTCTGGAAAACAACGTCGATGAAATTTTATTTGGAAAGAGCAGAACTAAACTATCAAAAGAAAGCTGGAAAAAGGGCTTGAGAAATCTAAAAAATTATCAAGTCTTGGCAAAACTATAAATTTCTCTTTGAAAGCTATCTAGATGCACTGTTTACATTCATCTCCCCAGCCACAAAATGTACCTAGCTGCAAAGGTTGTAAACTAAGGATGGATAGACTAGCCTTGTTCATTACAGTATGTGATTCAATCAACATGCAAAAAGACACTGTAAAACTATTTGACGACCTAGTTACATTTAAGAAATAAGAATTGTATTTAAATGTTGGCTTCATGGCATGTCACCAGGCATGAAGCCAGCATAGGGCCGGCAATGCCGAGTTAAGATCGGCTTGTCAACTGCGCATAGTTTTCTCAGAGCTCGATTTTCTAATTTCTCGAAATCCGTCGAGAATCCTTTAGGGGGTGGGGTGGGGGGTGTAGCAGGACGATTGATCATATCAATTTCGAATTTCGTTCTTTCAAAAAAGCCCCTGCTACACAACATGCTTTTCCAACAATTTGAAATAGATTGAAAATGCTAAAAAGGCATTTCCAACGTTTTCCCAGTGTCTGAAGGGCGTGGTCGAAAATTATTTTTGTACCCCAGTATCATCATCATCCATTATTATTATAATATAAATACAATAATAAAGCTAAATAAAGCTCGCAATGCCAGGCTATTCCTGACAAATAAGAGCTTTTACAACTTGTTAAAAGTTATTAAAAGAAATACAATGGCTTACAAGCAACAGCAACAACAACAAAAAATGCCACTGGAGCGACTCGATATTACACCGCGAGGACTGTTGCATAGTCGTTATTTGTTTTTACCATGAATGCATAGACTTTGTTGACTGTTGTGACCATAGAGATATGGTTGTGACCGCATGTTTGTCGACAGTCATGCGGGAAAACGTCTAATGTTTTAGACAAAAACATTTTTTCAACCTAAAGTTTTGGACGGGCATAGAGGGGTAAGTTGGGCGGTTAATAGCAGCTCCGAAATGCCTTTTAGCCTCTCTAGTGACGTCATACCTTGAAAGGATCTCCTCGGCTGCTTCTCTTCTGGATGGATTTTTTAGAATCAGCTAGAAATTTCGGACATTCAAAAGTAGGCAAATTTGCTTCCTTCCACCAACAACTTTCACCGCCAGTTTAGATATAGCAGACCAAACTTGCTTTACCGTGGGTTAGCATAGAAGCATATTGTACGTGAATCACTGTAAAAGCTGAGGGTCTCCCAGAGGAGAGGGTACTTATTCCCGTGTTACCTTTGAAAACAAACCAATGTTCCTGTGTTCCCATTGAAAAAATAAAAAGTGTTCTCTTATTCCCTTCCTAACTAGTAACAATGTTAACATGTTCCCAGTGGAAAATTTGAGTTGTTGCTGTGTTCCTCTACCATTTGTGGCCATGTTCCCTTGATCCCGAAAACCCCTGGGAGACTTTTAAAGCTCCGTTTCAACGATCCCAACATTTGACTAGAAATGACTCAATATTTGTAGAGCGTTGTTCAGTGATGTTCAGTTAGAACATCCAAGATGATTTGGAAGTGAAACATGACCAAATTATTACCCTTTGGTAGAGTAATGTATTACGTCATTAGAAAACGTATTGTTGATACGCAGGGTCGGATTAAAAGGGGTAGTTTTGGTGCGGTGCTACAGCTTTAGGCCCAATCTTGAAAAAGGCCCAGATAAGTTGACGAGAATTTTCCGATAGTTGGTTAGGTGCTTGTCTAATAGCACCTGATGCAACTTTACCTAATCCAGTACCATTAATAGCTTATCAAATGGCAAATTGTATTTGCAAATAAAGTTTATTTTTTTATAATTGATTGATGAATAAACGATAAATACACATATAGGTGCAAGATCATCTTCAAAGCAATTTTCGTTAAAGTATTAACTAAAAATCCTTTTGTCATCAACTAAAAAATCACCTCACCAAGTCAAGTCTCTATAATCTTCCAATTTATGGATTCCCTCGTCTTATCGAGTTCCCCTGAAAATATTCAATCCAAAAATTTAGAAGAATATTAGAATAAAATAACAAATAGACAAAATGAAAATAATATGGTTGTTTCTATCATCATGATTAAGGAAAATCCATATTTTCAAATATATTTGACTCGATCAACTACCAGATGATTTATAAACAAAGTTTCATCCTTTAAATTTGTATTTGACAAGATTCATGTCATATAGATTGCCTTCATACAGGCTGTAAGCTCTATCATATACTTCTTTAATTGCTCGTTTATTATCATACGCAGTCTATCCTATGAAACTTCATTTGAGAAGAACAAGAAACCAAATGTATATTAACGATCTCCTTGCTTTTACCTGTGATATTTCAGCTTCATTTCTGAAAACATTACATTGCCATGCTTTCCATCAATTCCAAGCCAACCCATGTATGTTGGACTTGTTGTGCTTGTTGTTGGGAAGAGTCCATTTAAGCTTGCATGTTGACATGATTTGTACCACCAGGCTCCTTTAAAGTTGTTGGCACAGTTCTCCCTACTTTTATCGTTGTCTCGATCATATGTTGTGAATTTCATGCCATCATGAAACGCCATGGAGTCACCGGCATTACCTATAGAAAAATATATCACCACGATAGTTAGGCAGCAGGGGTGAAATCTTTACCCCAGAAAGACTCGTGCCTTCAATTTGCTAAATGTTGCCAAATAAATATGATATGCATTTGTCATAGGAACGTAATTAGAGGTTTCTGCCTGGGAATGAACCGAAATTAAAATGACGACTTCTTTAGCATGTTATTTAAAAAAAAATTAATGAGTATGCATCAACCATTATAAATAATAATCAGTAAGGCAAAAGGTAGGGAGATTTCGATTACCTGAGTATCCACGTGAAAGCAGTTTGTAACCAGATGCTTCGTCACCAACTTCAAATGAAGAATACTCTGCATAATACTGAGTTGTTGGACTGTTGTGGTGTTTCATGTCAATCCGTAGAATAGCCCCTCTCCCTGGAGCAGCCAGTCTGTGCAACGTATCAAGTCCAATCCAAAAATTTCCATTCGTATCCCCAAATCCATTTTTGTATGACGCCCAGTTTCGATAAAAGTCGACACTGGCATCTATTCTTCTTTGAAAGACGATCCAATCTTGACTGCCATATACAAAGTCACAAAAGACGTTGGCTTTCCAATTGTGATCCGGTTTAATTTCGTAGACTCCGCTAACCGTTTCTCCAGACTTTCTCACGTCTCCACAATCTAGCAAGGAAGTATAGTCAGTAAGTTTGATCGGTGACACACTAGAGCCAGTCTTGATGCCGTTTGCTACCGTAATCTACGTAGCTGACATAGAGATCAAAAAAGTATATGAAAGCAATCGGATGCAATGACAGAACTTTCAGTCTAATTCAGTGGAAATAAATAGATACCTGATGTCCGATGCAAAACAGAGAAAAGCTTTATATATAAATATATATCAAGGCAGATTTGAACATTTTCAAGAGAAGAATGCGTCTACGATGGTTATTTAGGGACAATGACTCGAAAATTTTAGATAGCAATAGTCTAAATTCCAATGTAAGTCCAGCTGAAGTCCGTCTAACACCGATCCTTTGTTAGAATCCTGTCTTTCTCAACTCGAAAAGGAGGTGCTGTCTGTCCAGACGGAAGATAAGTATCACAGTAACCTTCTTTCTTCTGAAGCTATTGCGTTGAATAATCTTAAATGTGATAGGATCATAGTTATCAAGGAAACTAGGTAGATTTTATCTGTTGCCTAAGATTCATAAGGGATTGAGTGGGGTTAAGGGTAGGCCAGTCATTTCCAATTGTGACACTATTATAGAAAAAAACATTTCGGAATTTCTAGATCACCACCTCAATCCGCTGGTTAGCCTCGGTAACACGTACATTAAGGACACAAACCATTTTTTGTATAAATTAGGTGAAATAGGTAGGATACCAGAGGGGGCTATACCGTACACGGTTGATGTTGTGGGACTCTATCCTAGTATTCCACATGGGGGAGGGTTTGGAAGCAATCAGGGAAGCGCTGGATAGAAGGGAAAACCCAAACGTGGCTACTGATACCCTAGTGGGATCGGCATCTTCGGTTCTCAGTAACAACTATTTTGAATTTAATGATAAGATATAAAGGGAGAAATAAGGCACGGCTATAGGTACTACGTTTGCTCCGGCTTGTGCTAATCTTTATATGACCCGGTTGGAGGAAAGGTTAGTGGAATCTTCGGTGGAAAAGCCCCTCATTTGGATTATATTTTCTTCATCTGGATGCATGGGGAGGAGAGGCTGAAAGAGTTCATTGACCATCTCAACAGTAGCCATGTTACCATCAAGTTTACTAGCGAACACTCTAGCGAACCCACCAAACCCCCCCCCAGACGGTACCCAGCCCACAGCGCCCCGCAAGGCAGCGGCAGCCCAATAGCCAAAAGAAGGCAGCCCCGCTCTACATGGCCCTAACCCGCACCTCACACTACAAAACAGTACGAAGACCGGAGATTTCCGAAAGTAGACCAAGGAGATCACAACGCATCTCATAAAACCAATGGCAGTGCAGGAGAAAAGCTGAAACCATGTTATTTGGAATAATGGTGAGAATACGAAAATGCAAGGAGATCTTATGCGTAGTACGCGAAGATGGTCAAATCAGCATCGCTTCAACATACAGTTATCCTAGTGTGCAACCAGACTTCTCCTTTAACAGTGATTTTCACAAAAGGCGTCTTCAAGCAGGGGGGGGGGGGCGTGTTGGGCGTCAGCACATTTAAGATTTTTGCAGGGCAAAAGAGGCAACTTGTGTACTCTTCCTGTTACCTCTTTCCAATAATTATAACGTATTAACATTTGGCTTCAACCCTGATTTTGATGCCAAATTCAAGAAGAGTTCATGTCGTTTACGACTATTGACGCAAAGAACCGAAGATCTCTTAGCAACGATCTGGACATAGAATCAGCAAGGTGTATATGGGGTAATTTTAAGACGTTATGGTATAAATCGTACTTTTATATAGCGCAAAGCAGCAAGTTTTCTAAAATTATGATACAACATACAACATTATGATGTATGAAAATTCATGCAGTTCCTCCGCATTATCTTATTTCTGATAAGAGCAAAGGTGGTTCTGTGGTATTAGTCCTGGTTAATGCAAAAATTCCTCAGTGCTTATCCATATTGACCGTTCAAGTTCTGTATCCAGACCATAACTCCGCATAAAAGTGGTAAATGTTTCTTATTTTTTTTCATTTATGCCTATAACAATTTACAATAAATACAATTTACAAAACGATACCACGGGAATCATGGAAGTGCATCATAACCCTGTGGCCATTAACAGTTAACTACAAGTCTGTCTCAAAATAGAGACAGAATGATGCAAGTTGAGGATTAAGATTTTGGGTTCTGCAGGAAGAGCACTCAGTTGTGTTATGTATTATCTTTTTCGAGATTGGCACAGACTTCAGAAACAAATAAAATAAAACAATATCAGAATTGCAAAGAATTTAAAAATGATCCACTAAAGGAGTAGGACAAAAGCAGGTTTTTCAAAAATGCTACGGTGTGTGGATGTATTTTAGCGTAATCTTGATTATATCGTTGTTAATATCATTTGGTAACCATCTCTTTACAAAATAACTTGAACTAGAGCTTTGTTAGAATGCTTTGCTTGATAGGCCATTTGCAAGCAATATTGCCTTGACAGTCCAGAGAATACCTGTCTCTGAAAATCGTTTAAGTGATAAATACTATTACAAAAAACATCATTAAACATCTTTTCAGCGTTTTCTGTTGCCATTGTAATCGTAGCTTTCAATACAAAGCTATTGTACTTTGCCCCAAATCTTACTGGAATTTTAAGACAACGTTTTATTTAACCAAAATTGAAGGTTTTAAAATTGAAGATCAGACTGGTATGAGCAAGATGAATTCTGTTCATATTTTGTTTGGTTTTTCTTAATAGATGTTAAGCCAATTTTACAAAATTAGCAGTTTAGTAAATTTTGAAATCGTCTTCAAACAGTGAATAATAACTAGTTACCTTGTTTCAACTTGTCACAATGTGTTCCGTAGTAAAGTGGGGCGCATATGCACTTGTATCCCTTTTCATCACATGTATCTTTGCACTTCGCACCATTTTCGCAAGGAGATTTGATTTGACAAACAGGTCCATTCTAGGATAAAAAGGTAGAGAACATGTAGCTTATTAATGAAATAATTGAACAAACACGATAAGGAATTTATAGAAATCTTAGAAATTTGAGGACATAAACTTTGCTATGCCATGCATCTTTATTCGCCATGTTTCCGTTGAAAATATTTATAATATAGCATAGCTATTAGACCATTTTGAATGCTTTTATGGCTTGGCTTTATTTAAAAGAAAACTTTTAAATGTCTGTACTACGACTGCACTCACATTTATTTTCCCATCGTCTGTTGTCATGTACACCTGCCCCTTCCTTTCCGTCAACAATGGAACGCTCTCGTTGAACCTTCTTTCCAGTAGCTCACAAGTCATCGTCCCACGATTGTAATTCAGAGAGAGACACTTAGGCCAAGAAAGACATTCGAGGGTGCACTGTCGCACAGTCCTTGAAGAAATTGTTTTCATGACTGTCCCTGTGTCAGCAGTATTGTTCAGGATAATGCTGAAGTCAGCGTAGAATTTGCACGGAAGTCTTGTTAAGCAAAGACATCTGCTGGTCATCAGTAAGACAAATAGAGTTTGGCATGTTGTAAAGGCCTCTTTCATTTTGAATTTCTGAATTTGAATCTCGCTACTTGATTATGAATTGATTTGAAACTCTACGTTGGTGTGTTGCCGAACTTTACCAAATGTCACGCTTGCTCGTGTAATATAAATTCAACATTTAATAATTGATGTGACAACGATAAGATAATCAAACCCCACTTTTGGTGCTCTACTTCTTACGCCATAACCCGCTAGACATCAATTTCGAAACATATTTTGTCTATAGTTTTAAAAGGCGAGCCTAGCAACTCTGTTGCTCCTGTAACAACAAGGACAAAGTTGCATTACAGTGAATAATGCGTGAATAACAAAATGTTCTTCCAATCTGTATGATCTCTCAAAATCAGCGGCGGTTTTAGAGAATGCTGGGCCTAGGGCCGAAAACATCTGCGGGGCCATAGGTTTTTCCAACTTGAATTTTATCTTGGATGTGGTGGCTGTTAAGCATCATGTGTGCTACGAGGCAAACTGCAAAGCAGTGTAGAGTGACAAAGTGATGCTATTAAAAAATTCAGTTTTATATTTTGGAATTCTGACCCCATAACGTGAAATATCACTACAAATGCCTCTAAATTTTAAAGATTTTGAACCAGGCAAAACATCAGTAACTAATAGAAAAGCTTATTTCTTTCATTGACCATATCTCAGTCCATTTTGAACAGATTCAACTGATTTTGCAAAACTTGAGGTATTTTGTAAATATGTAGTATTTGGTGTTCCTCAGGGCTCCTGTTGGGGGCCTTTAATTTTCATCATATATTTGAAATTAATTTGAAATGTACGATCCTAAGAATAGATGCCAATGACACGAGTATAAACAGAGCCTTTGAAAACCTGCATTACCTTCTCAAAGACCTCAAAAATTGGCTTGAAAATATTTCTAATGCAAATAAAAAAAGTCTAGGTTAAAATAGAAACAATTGATTATCGGCCATGAACAAAAGTTGTAACAATGGGTCAAGGAAATAAAATAACTCTTAACTGGAAGTACTGGGAGGATCATTATTAATGCAAAAAATGAAAATAACAGTATAATGAATGGGAGCAAAACAACGGGTGGCCCCTTCTCCCCAATATTAATTTTGTTTCGACGGCACTATAATAAGAAACCTTTTAAAAATCAGTTTGCTGTTCTTCCTGGGAAATGTATTTTTGCTTTGTAGATGTGTTTTAGGTCGTTTTTGGAAACGAATTAGCGTCAATAGTTCGCGAACTTCGGCACGAGTATCAATTCTTTGGATGTTGTATAGTGAAAGATATCGTTAGAAATTCTGTCCAGAATCTAGGGGTCCAACGATCTTCGCATTGCTTTGTGATATACGTCCATTGCAAAGATATCGTTTCGTATTTGTCCCATAAGCTTTCAGGAAAAATTTTTTTCACATTCTTATAGGCTAGGACATCCCTTTCATATCGGAGAAGATTTTCTAAACTTAATTCTTAATTCTTGCGTTCTAAAATTATTAACTACAATGCCTGCCAAAAGTCTTGGAACACTGACATCAATTTCCAAGGTCAAAATCAATCATCCCCCTCTCCCCTACAGAACAATGTTGGTTTACTATAAAACTGGTTAGGATTTTAAGAAGCACTTTCTTTTGTGCTTCTTTTATGATATTTCTCTAATTCCTCAACATTGTTTTAGGGGGAAGGGGGCGGAAGTAGCAATTTTTTTCATGAAAGGAATGAAAGATATCAAATGCAGCGTAAACTGCTGGGTGTTCCAAGTACTTTTGGCAGGCATTGTAGGAGCTTCTTTTGTTGGTGGTGGAGAAAACTAGTTGTTCTCTCGATAAACTCTTGCATACTACATTGGCGTAGCGCAGGTGACTCTCGATTAATGTATAATAGACCTGCTTTAGATACGTGGCAATTGCTAGCTCGTCTACAATAATGCTGAGGGATTTAGCTTTATAAAATCCCTCAATGTCGCAGTTATTTGATTTTAGCATTTCTAGAAAGTTCAGCTTGTTTGCCTTGAGTGAATGCCCTATGACCATAAATTCGGATTCAGGCTGACCTTATTTACCCTCATCCTGGAAGATAGATATTAGCATCGTCAACGTAGATGCTTGTCTTGGAAAATTTAAGCATTTTAAGTAGATAATAAAAAGGAAGGGGCCCAGACAGGAACTTTGAGGAATTCCAGAAACCTCTTCTCTTGAAATCGAATTCTGACCATTCAAAGTGCAAATCTGTTGTCTTTTACTCCAGATCTTCCCTTGATTCTATAAGTACATATTTCTTTTACCAATATGTTATGATAGACTTTGTCAAAGCCTTTTTGAGATTTAGAAATATAGTAAGATTGACGTAGCTACTGTCTATGCTTTCGTGTCAGAAGTCTATGCTGCATTTAGTGATGTTGTAGTGTAGTATAACTTTCGAAAAGCTTTCCCATTCTTAAGACTTCTGTTTTATACCATAATTCATCGTTTTCTGGCGTGATGTTCTTTAAGCAAATTTGGTCTGGTCTCCGTTCAATGTTTTTATCTAGGCTTAGCCCAACAGATATTAAGTGGCAATTTAAGGCTGCAAGAATCTCATTTTTTGCCAAATGTTTGTCGTTAATTTTAATGCTGAGAAACGGTGTAGATTTGACTTCTTAGTCCAATACTGCTCTCATTGATTTCCACATTTTCTCTGGATCCCAAGTATTTTTCTATCACATTTTTTTAATAATCCCGGACAGAGTTCCTATTTTCTCTTGCTACCTTATTTCACTGTCTTGCATAAGCTAACTCTATTGCAGGAATCTTAATAGCTATTTTGTCAGTCTGTCCCTGGCTCCCCTCGATTTTCTGAAGTGAGATGGCAGATAGACTAACCAAGTTAAACCAATTGCGCACAAGGGCAAATAGATTTAACGAGGAAGCACAAAGATGGTTGGCTCTGTACTTGGCTTTCTGTAAGGTCTCTTTCTATTCTAGTTAGACAAGGTGGTCATGACATACAAATTTTTACATGACCTCTGTCACGAAAACCTTCGTGACAAATTCACTCAAAGGCAGTGTGTCGTGCTGTTCACTTTGTTCAATTTCGAGGGTCCTCGAAATTAGAGAAGCATGGCAAATTAGAACAACTCATCGTTAGCATCATTAAGCGTCCTTTGTTACGAAATGAAAACTCACTGAAATGTTGCTCTTTGTTTCCATAAACCAATGAACGGCGCGACGTACTGCCTTTAACGATCCCAAATTTCTAAGTTTAGCATAAGAAGTACTCTTTTTACAAAAGTTGAACTAGAATTGCGAAAACATTTTTCTTTCTCTATCGTACAAAAATGTATAATTTCTTGGAAAACGCAAGAGAAAATTATTGTTTTGTTCAAATAAAAAATTTATGAAGCATATCAAGCATTGTTAAAAACATTCGGTAACATCAAAGTAGATGGCGTAATTCACGAATAATCTGTTTTCCAGAGCAGGTTCACTTCTTATCTGACCAAAAGGGTTTCCGCAGGGCTCGTGTTTGAGACTCTTGTTTTTCATGAAACGATAGAATGATTTGAAAAACTGTTTGGAAAGTATGACTTTTGCAGCCTTATTCTGTAGAATCTGAAGCGACTTCATTGATACTTTATTGTCATGGTTTCTCATACAATGTCAGCATAAACAAATAGAGGTAGTATCATTGAGTTGTACACCGTCTCTCTTTGAGCTCTTGGTAGTAGCTGCCTTATTCGTCTCAGGACACCTATTCTTTGCGAAACTTTTCTGGAAACCGACTCTAAATGATCCATCCAAGAGAGATTTTCACTGATGGTAACTCCCAGGTATTTGTAGTTGCTGACTTTTTCTAATTCCTTGCCTTCATTGCTCAGCGCTACATTTCCAAAATCTTTGACTCGCTTTTTCCCTCCAATCAGCATATATTTTGACTTGCCAATGTTGAGGGTTAATCTGTTACCCACAAGCCAGTTCCTTACATTATTTAGATCTTCATTTAATGCTACTGTAAGATGATCACTGATCAGCACTAGGAGCTGTTTTATGAACTGATCTGGTATTTTGGAGTCGATCTGGAAAGTCATTTATGTAGATAAAAAACAAGAGCGGTCCCAGCACTGATCCCTGGGGCACTCCTATAAAAACATAGCTTGGTTTGGAAATAAAGTTCCCAACATTTCCAAAATCTTTGACTCGCTTTTTTCCTCCAATCAGCATATATTTTGACTTGCCAATGTTGAGGGTTAATTTGTTATTCACAAGCCAGTTCCTCACATTATTTCGATCTTCATTTAATGCTACTGTAAGGTGATCACTGATCAGCACCAGGAGCTGTTGTATGAACTGATCTGGTATTTTGGAGTCGATCCGGAAAGTCATTTATGTAGATTAAAAACAAGAGCGGTCCCAGCACTGATCCCTGGGGCACTCCTATAAAAACATGGCTTGGTTTGGAAATAAAATTCCTAACACTAGCATTACTGAGATAAGCCGTAAACCAGCCCACTGACTTTTTATCAACACCATGAGCCGCTAATTTTTTCAGCAGGATAGAATGCTCCACAGTGTCGAAAGCCTTCTTTAAGTCAAGATAACAAGCTCCTGTTACGTGTTGGAGTTATTCATATTTTCAAGAATGTCTTCACAAAATTTTAGAAGGGCATGTACAGTTGATGAAGAGTGCTGGAAACCCTTACCTGCAAACCATTTTCTTGGATAAAGGACGACATTTTCCTTTAAGAAATTGTATAACTGTGAGTGAACAGCACGTTCTAGTATCTTGCTTGCAGTAGGCACTATCGAGATTGGCCTATAGTTAGCACAACCCTTGTCATCACTACTTTTGAGTAGAGCTCTAACTTTCGCTGATGTCCAACTGTTTGGTACACATTGCTGTTCAATCGATAGGTTTAATATCTTTTGCAGTACTGGAGCAATATCATCTGCTCCATCCTTTAGAAGCCTTGCACTGATCTTATCAAGACCTACCGCCTTGTTTGTTTTTAAACTCTGTAGCTGTTGTTTGACAAATTCCACAGAAACAGTCTTTATAGTGAATGAGGCTGTCGTTCTCGGTGCAATATTAAATGCAATATTAAATACGACTCGAGTGCTCGTGCTAATTTTATACCAGTTTTAGAAAAATGTTTATTAAAAGCTTCTGCAATTTTGGAAGGATCAGTGATATAACAATGTTTTTCTTGGAGTCCAAAAGTATCGGGTGATTTTTCATCTGACAGGATATCTTTAAGGCATTTCCACATTCTTTAGCTGTCAGACTAATTTTCTTCTATCAAACTTTTGAAGTATTCAGATTTTAATCGACGGTTCTCTCGGTTAGCATAGTTGCGCAACTTTTTGTACATATCTCAATGTTATGCACTATAAATACTACATGCTTTACGATGGTGATAGTCACGTTCATTTCTAGCACCCAACAACTCTTTGTTGACCTAAGGTGCTTTTTGTCCTTTGACTCTTTTCTATTCAGTTGGTTCGTGCACCTCCGCTATTTCACAGAACAATTTTTCCCAAAGGAAAAGAGCATCATCAACGGATTGAACACCATCAATAACATGCCAAGGAATGTTCGCTGAATCTTTCAAGAAATCCTCCTTTGCGAAGTTCTTAAAAGTCCTTGATTCATATGCCCGAGACGGTAGTTTAGGAACGCCACTTTTAAACACACACATGATAATGCTATGACCACTGATGGACGATGAAATAACCCCAGTTTGCACAACTCTATGTGTGTTATTTTCACAGAGAAGATGAACAAGAGTTTTTGAACTTTTACAAACCCTAGTCGGTAATTTTATCACTTGCTCAAGGTCCTTTGCCAAAAGAAAATTGCGAACAGATTGTCTCATGATCTTGGGCCCAGACTTAGAGAGCATGTCCACATTACAATCACCCATTATGGTGATTTCTGTTTATGTATGATCTATCTTTTGTAATTGATCTTTAAAATAAAAAAGGTAAGTGTAAAGTGTGGCATCAGGTGGCCTATATTCCAATGATTAGTGGTTTAGATTTCGGTCGATTTATTTTGATCCAGATACATTCAGTATGCTTATTCTCCATTAGGTCTGTTCTTTTTCTCGCATTTAACTCACTTCTGACGTAAACTACCAACCCCTCATCCTATTTTGATTAGGATCTTTTCGATCTCTTTGAACTGCAGTATATCCAGAGATTTTGATTTCGTTGTTAGTAATGTCAGGTGTTAGCCAGGTTTCAGATACACCAAAAAAATCAAAATGGAGATCAGCAAGAGTTTTCCTTTTTCTTATCAAGCTTATTGTACAGATGATTGACGTTAGAATATCCCACTTTACACTTAGGCCACCACTTTCAGGCCACGTCGAAATTTAGGCTTCCTCTGCTGTCCCTGGAAAGATGCACTGTAAACAAGACCAGTTTGTGCTGGGTTCACTCAGTGCAATGTAATCATTTTCATCAATATGAACACACTTTGCGTGAAACCAAAGCTCACAGTCATCACATAGTATTCCATCTTGTTAGCTTTTACTGGCTTTTTACATGCCCCACGAGGATATTTCCAGTTAGATCCTGGATTTACATGGATGTCACCACAAAGTAACAGAATTAGATGAAACATTCGATTGCAAAGTCGAGGTTTAATGGCAAGAGAATGCTTAGGCCCATCCAACATGGCGTGGGAATGCCAAAGACTATATGCAGAGTAAACATCAACGAGTTGAGCTACAACCTGGTTACCAGTTTCGAAGGTCGTGTTCAATCCAAAACCATTAACTCAAAGGATGTAGTAGATACTGGAATCACTTTTCATACTCAAAACTGAGGCAAAATGCAAATTGCGAACGGAGCTGCGAAATTCATGACCGCCATACTCGAGAAACAAATCTCGAGGATAAAATGTTTTATGATGTTTTAATCTTCAAGAGCGAATAGAACCCTACCAATGTGATTACAATTACCAAAACCCCCCAACCTAATACCAGCAGGACATGTGCAAGCTGCAGAACAAACAACACCAGAAGAATTTGAAACTTGAACAATTGTCTTATACAGAGTTCTTTTAATTGAAGCTTTTACACGCACATCAAAAGAATAAACTTGGCAATTTCAATATTTTTTTAGAGCCTTCATAAAAAAGTGGAAGGCCTTAAGCTTCTTATAGGATGTGCTCTTTAACAAAATATGTTTGAATTTCAGTGTACGAATAACAAGGTAATCGTACAGCTGAATGAAACTAAATGGTGGTGTTCCACGAAGATCGGATGTCCAAGGCAAATGTTTGCAATTTCTTCTAAAAATGGCATCATATGTCCAAGCCCCTGATGAATTACTTGCCGAGTATTAAATGGCGTTGGATGACGAAGAAATATTTTCTTTCAAGCGACATAAGATTGCGAAGAACCAAATCGGCTTTTACTCCGTAAGTCTTCTCTCGTTGTAGCAACGCAATACTTGCATGAGCTGTTTTAAAGGTGCCAAGATCTTCCAAACAAGGGACTGTCTTGCCTTCTGAAAGAATCGCAACGAATTGCTCCATGATATAAATCTTAATAAATCCTGAAAATTTCCGAAATCCGAAAGAAAACTTTTTACGATCGCGTCTCACAGTAAATTTCTGATGAGGGAGTGTGAGTCTCGTTTCCGCTCTTCGTCCTCGTTGTCAAATAGATTGTGAAAAGGATTAAAAGCATTTCAATCTCTGTGACAATTTCAGGCATGTCTCTAGGCAGGAATGCTTGACTTGCGGGATCAAATAATTTCAATTTTTAACTATGGTTTAATTAAAGTAGTAGGATAAACATAAAAATGATCCTTGTTTTTATAATTTTTTGAATAATCTGACTACAAGCGGTAATGGCCATAGTCTGGATCCGCCACTGTTACCGTAGGTTAGCTTTCTTTTAAAGTTTAGTAGCACATTGTACGTGAATCACTGTAAAAGCTGAGGGTCTCCCAGAGGAGAGGGTTCTTGTTCCCGTGTTCCCTTTGAAAACAAACCAATGTTCCTGTGTTCCCATTGAAAAAATAAAAAGTGTTCTCTTATTCCCTTCCTAACTAGTAACAATGTTAACATGTTCCCAGTGGAAAATTTGAGTTGTTGCTGTGTTCCTCTACCATTTGTGGCCATGTTCCCTTGTTCCCGAAGACCCCTGGGAAACTCTAAAAGCTCCGTTTCAACGATCCCAAAATTTGACTAAAAATGACTCAACATTTGTAGAGCATTGTTCAGTGATATTCAGTTGGAACATCCCGGCTGATTTGGAAGTGAAACATGACCAAATTATTACCCTTTGGTAGAGTAATTCATTACATCATTAAAAAAATGAATTTTGATAGGCAGGGTCGGATTAAAAGGGGTAGTTTTGGTGCGGTGCTGCAGCATTAGGCCCAATCTTGAGAAAGGCCCAGATGAATTGATGAGAATTTTCCCATAGTTGGCTAGGGTTTTGTGTAATACCCGCTGACTCAACCTTTTCTTAATCCAGTACCATTGATAGCTTGTCAAATGGCAAATTGTATATGTAAATGAAGTTTAACTTTTTGTTATTGATTGATAAATAAACGATGAGTTTTCATCTAAGACAAAATACATGCAAGCTAAGTTTTAATCCCCCCCTCCCCCTTCACAAAAATCAATGTCATGCTTCCGTAAAGGTTATTACAAGCTATAGAGAAACAGTTAGAGCATGAAAGCGAGCAGCAACGTACCTTTGCGCCAGTTGGCACAAAATATTCGTGCACTCTATAGATGTTTAGAATATTGTTTGTGCAGACCGTACGTGTATTTTGTATATCAATGACCGATACATTACAAATAAGGACTCTAATAGTCAGTGGCGGACTGGCAACCGTTTGACCAGCCGGGAAAAGTAGCCAAAGGGGTGCCAATAGGTGCTAAAATTGCATAACTTTGGGTCTTGTAAAACTGGCTCGGAAAAACTTTGCTTTACCTGAGAATCAGTTTGTTGCAAACACTGTCATAAGAAACGAAACGGGGGTCAGGGGCTGGCCATCGGAAATTTTTTTAAATCGCCCTATTTAGAATATCAGAACATGCCCCATGTCGAAATCAAAGTTTTTTATTCACAATTGGCATTGGCATGAAGAAGACTCTCTGTCAAATTGACTGTATTTGAAACGTCTACACGGCTGGTCAAATTTGTAGGTATCAAGTGACGTATTGTCCTCAATTTCATGTATCGAATGATGATATCAAATGATAGATTTTGAAAGTTGGACCAAAGCCCAAAGCCCGTTTTCAGTTAGCGAGACACTCCCTTACAAGATTTTATAAAGAAAGCAGCTTCTCTGGCCTAGGAGACGAGATTATTTTAAATTAAGCTCGATCTCTAAATCTTTAAAAATTTGACGAAATATATGACTTCGTTCTCATAAATTTTCAATTTTTTGAAATTAAGTTTTGCAGCATATCTTTGAATAAAAGTAAAGAGGTGCCTCAACACCTGCTAGCCTAATGACTTTGTTGCTCCTGCCTCCACGCTACAGTTACAAATCATTTACAAAAGATATGATTTATGATCAGGTATTGAACTTGTGCTTAAAACCGTAGACTTGTCCGAGAGATATCTGATAACATATTTTGGACAAATTGATTTTAAGAGATCTTGCTGCCATTCGTTTTGCGCAAATTGATGAGTTTGCAGATTGATGGCTCCTTCGGTATGACAAACTGTGCGTAGACATGGTAAAATGGATAAAGAATTTCTTAAGAAAAGACAGAAAAGTCTCTATTCAGGAATACTTTAATAATAAAATTTGAAACCAGTTTTAGCAAAACAGCCGGTTTAACTTTTCATTAAGTTTACAGAAGGTTCATACATGAGGGCATCAATCCTCAATAAATTCTGTATAGAGTTTTTAAAAAGTTCTCAAGATTTTTTGCTTCAATTAGTCATGGTTTTTTTAGGGTACAAAACTCCTGGTTGTAACGTACAAAAAGCATGATGCATAGGAGATTTTAGTTGAATCGCAAAGTAAAATAGCTTGCCAACAACAGGACGTTGAGAAAGTATTGTCCTTTATCATACATAGAGCAGTTCTCACTGTTGAGGGATAGTTTATGGCCCAAAGAAAAAGGACTATTATTCAAGAGAGACAACACAAGGAATATGCACATATTACGTCATCGAAAAACGGTATTATTTGAAATATCCCCTTCTCCCTAAATTATTATTTTAACAAGCTTTAAGAAATAGCCATAATGACTGTTACCGTTTGTGAAAAACCCCTTCCCCAACCCATCTTTGATTATGTAATATGGGAACGTTACCATACTCAATGGCCAACACACCGATAATTTCATTCAGTTATAACTATTTTGATTGATTTGAAAGTGCACAGGGTAGTGCTCAATTAATTTTTCCAATGTGCGAGCCCTCTCAGTTATTCGATATCAGATACTCGAAATATTTCGCATTAGTCATAAGTCAAAAAATTAATATGGTTAGTCAAAAGTCATGGGTTTCACAAACAGTGTGCTAGTTAGCTAGTGAAAACCCCAACTACCCTCTCAACAGATATCGAATTAATTCAAGTATTGCGCACCTGCTTGAAAAAAATTAAAAGCTAATGAGGGTTGGAAGTGAGAGTAGGCTTTCTGGCTGCTACCACATTAACTGCTGTCAATAATAAAAGTATGAACAATTTTTTGGCGCTACTAAATTTGAAAATGGCTTTGAAAAAAGAAAAAATTTTAAACATACTAAAAGCTTTTTCATCTGAATCTCTTTAGAGTTAAAAACGTAAGAAAAAGGGTCGAAAAGAACAAGATGAAGAATAAATACCCATTTGTAGATCGAATTCTCCATCTTGTCCTTTGGACCTTTATTCTAACGTTATATGCTCTGAAAAGTTTCAGACAAAAAAGACTTAATATGTTTAAAATTTTTTGCTTTTTTCAAAGCAGTTTTCAAGACAAAATATGTTTTTCTCGAGGTTTTCAAAAATCTTACAGAAACTGCTGATGAAAACATCGTCTTCAATGAATTTTCTAAACTTTTAATGGAAACGTACTTTAGATAGGAGGTCAATTTATGATTGTAATCAGTTATAGTTTTATCAGAAGGTTAGTTGCCTTTTGAAGGTTTTCAAGTTTTTGAAAAAAAAACTTAGGGGCAAACGGCGTACCGGGAAATTTCCCGGTGTCCCGGTGGGCCAGTCCGCTTCTGCTAATAGTAGACTTGAGATTTCAGAAGAGCAGTAATCCATGTGATTTGAAGAAACGATTCTCGCACGATACAAATCTTCAACTTTTTAACTCTAAGTTTCAGGTAAGTCTCCTCTCTAGAAACATCCCGCCAATGCTCTTCCGTGTTTAGCAGATGCTCAGTGTCTATAAGCATTGTTCTTAATACGATAAAACACTGTCTTTTTGGATCTTTCTTTTTGAAACGTGGATGAAGTGGTGTTGTTATCAAGTTAAAAGTGCCGAAGGGCGCGAAGGCACTTGTCTACTTGCATTGATGAAGCAAAGCACCATTTGAAGGGGGTTGCAGAGATACAGCACAAACAGACATGCAGACAAAATCAGAGCAGTGAATTAAAGAGATACCTAATTGTCAGAGTCATGTCAAGTACCGGAGGGCTCAATCTGTTGGTCAAACGTATATCATGTGCTCCGGGGGTAAACTATGCCTAATTTTGGACGGGGATGTGCCATTTGGTTAAAATTTCGGACCATAATTCAGCAAATGTCTGAAAAAATATGACCTAAAATTCCGCAAACATAATGAAAACTATAACCATTATTCTGCAGAGCAAATAAATCTTTTAAAGCACACAAAAAAACATCAATCAAACTTTGCATGTCCTATCCTAAAATCTCAATATTACACATATTTCATACTTTTATTTCTAAATGGACGTTCATTTTGTTAAAACTAAATCTCCCTCCTAATAATTTTGCAATACTTCCCAAAAATGGCACCCATAATTTTGCATGTTTCTTCAAATAGTACCCATAGTTCCGCACAAATTTCAAAGACTGATACCAATAATTCCGCACTTTTCAGAAAAAAGGTACCCCTAAATAATGGCACGTCCCCGTACCTTAAAACATGTTAAGGTACCCCCCCCCCCGATATCATGCGAGTTCCGAAAAACTCTGAGATAGGGTGGTCTGAAAGCTAAAATCTTGGGACATAGAATCTTAAAATAGGGTTGCTATTTTACTCAGTCAGAGAAAACACATAAAGGAGAAGAATTTACAGCTATAATGTTACTGATAATTTTGGTAAATCAATGGCTATTGAAGTAGCATTCTATTATAGTACTGTAATCCATAGAATTTTGCAGTAGCATTTAGTTATGTCTATTGTTCTAAACCTAGATAAGAATATTAAGCCTTTGTTTAAGTCTTTGTTAGTTTGTACTCATTACAAAGTATTATTTTGAATTTGACACAACTTTTCCATTTCTTATAAAACAAGAACCATAAGGAATTATTGTTAAAATCAAATTTAGTGAATTCTGCTCTCTAATTTTCCTTTAGACATAAGTTTGAAAAAAGAATGGCTCGTACATGACATGGTTTCAAAAATACTTGATCAAGCTTGAAAATTCCCAGTGAAAAGGGTAACAAAATCTTGGGAAAGTCAGAGAAAAGGGTAACCTTTATGTAAACCAGAATCAGAGATTAGGGTCCAGTTTCTACTTTCGGGAACACACATGATATTCATTGGATCAACTGACTGAGCCTGCCGGGTTTCAAGTGACATTTTATCATATCTACATTCACATCATTTTGTCCAAATAAACGTGTTTAGAAATTTTTTACACCAGCTTTGATGCTGGCAACAGCAACAACAAGTTTACAATAAAAGGTGCAAAATCATTTTACAAGCAATTTGTGTTAAAGTTTATCTAAAAATCCTCTTGTCATCAGCCAAAAAATCACCGCACCAAGACAATTCTGTATAATCCTCCATTTTGTGGATTCTTTTGTTTTATCGAGATCCTCTGCAACAAGAGGATGGAAAATATTCAATCCAGAAATGTAGAAATATTTAAGAAAAAGATAACAGGTAAACGAAATAAAAATAGTATGGTTGTTTCTATCATCATGATTAAGGAAAATCCATATTTTCAAATATATTTGACTCGATCAACTACCAGATGATTTATAAACAAAGTTTCATCTTTTAAATTTGTATTTGACAAGATTCATGTCATATAGATTGCCTTCTTACAGGCTGCAAGCTCTATCATATACTTCTTTAATTGCTCGTTTATTATCATACGCAGTCTATCCTATGAAACATCATTTGAGAAAAACAAGAAACCAAATGTATTTTAACGATCTCCTTGCTTTTACCTGTGATATTTCAGCTTCATTTCTGAAAATATTATGTTGCCATGACTTCCATAAATTCCAAGCCAACTCATGTATGCTGGACTTGTTGTGCTTGTTGTTGGGAAGAGTCCATTTAAATTCACATGGTGACATACATTGTACCACCATGCTCCATTCCAGCGGTTGGCACAATTCCCATCACTGTTATCATTGTCTCGATCGTATGTTGTGAATTTCATGCCATCATGAATCGCCATGGAGTCACCGGCATTACCTATAGAAAAAATATCATTACGATAGTTCGGCAGCAGGGGTGAAATCTTTACCCCAGAAAGACTCGTGCCTTCTATTTGCTAAATGATGCCAAATAAAAATGATATGCATTTGTCATAGGAACGTAATTAGAGGTTTCTGCCTGGCAATGAACCGAAATTGAAATGACAACTTCTTTAGCATGTTATTTAAAAAAAAATTAATGAGTATGCATCAACCATTATAAATAATAATCAGTAAGGCAAAAGGTAGGGAGATTTCGATTACCTGAGTATCCACGTGAAAGCAGTTTGTAAGCAGATGCTTCGTCACCAACTTCAAATGAAGAATACTCTGCATAATACTGAGAGGTTGGACTGTTGCGGTGTTTCATGTCGACCCGTAGAATAGCCCCTCTCCCTGGAGCAGCCAGTCTGTGCAATGTATCAAGTCCAATCCAAAAATTTCCACTCGTATCCCCAAATCCATTTTTGTATGACGTCCAGTTTCGATAAAAGTCGACACTGGCGTCTATTCTTCTTTGAAAGACGATCCAATCTTGACTGCCATATACAAAGTCACAAAAGACGTTGGCTTTCCAATTGTGATCCGGTTTAATTTCGTAGACTCCGCTAACCGTTTTTCCAGACTTTCTCACGTCTCCACAATCTAGCAAGAAAAGATAGATGATAGATGACTAACTTAAAGCCTCTGTTTATGTTGTTTGCTTTAAATATGGACGCATAGATCCTAATGGTGCTCGTTTACCGATAACAAACTTATATAAACATCTAGATCCTGAGGTTGGAAGAATAAGTGCATAAACTTTTCTTCACATTATGATGTTGCCGGGCTTGTCGGTCGAAAAATCTAATATTTTGCACTCTAAAGCCAATTAAATTTTGCAGACTTCTATTACAAACCATTTGTTAATTGGAAAAACTTCCTGTTAAAAATCAATTAAAAAGAAATTTTTAAAGCGTTCTTGCAAACAGCATATTGTCATTTCAATCTCCGATGTCCGATCTAAAACAGAGAAAAACTGAAGCCCTGTTATTCGGAAAAGTGGTGGGAATATGAAAATGCACGGAGAATTTAATCGTAGTACGCAAAGATGGTCAAATCAGCATCACTTCAGCATACAGTATCTTAGTGTGCAACCAGACCCTTCACTAAACAGTGATTTTCATCAGGGGCGTCGCCAAAGGGGGTTGCAGGCGGGTGCGGCTTTAGTCAGTCGGCACATTGAAGATTTTTACCGGGAAAAAGAGGCAACAATTGTAACGTATTAAAATTTCTTTAGTAGTGGAAACTTCAAAGTATGTCATTCAAGATTGAACTTTAAAGCAGAAACGCATAAACGCAGGAAATAAGAGAATTTATCTTTTGACCAAACCCTCAATGAGTGAGACACCTTCTTTTTCTCGGCAAAAACTACTTTTTTACCATTCCAAAATTATTATTTCGCTCCAATCCTCACTATACAAAATAACCTGAACTAGAGCTTCGTCAGAAAGGCTTTATAGGCCATTTGCAAGGATTAACACGTTGACAGACCAAAGAATATCTCGTTTCTGAACATTGTATATGTGATCAATTTGATTACAAAGAAGCATCATGAAACACAGCAACATCTGGAAAGCAAGCGATTCCATCTTTTCAGCTTATTCTGTTGCCATTATAATCGTAATCCTAGCATTTGCAATACAAAGCTGTTGTACTTTGCCCCAAATTTTACTGGAACTTTAAGACAACGATTTATTTAACCAAAAATGAAGGTTTTAAAATTGAAAATCAGAATGGTATGACCAAGATGAATTGTTTTTTCAGAATGATGATGGTTTTTTCTTCATAGAAGTTAAGCCATTTTTATAAAATTAGGAGTTTAGTACATTTTGCAATCGTCGTTAAACGGTGAATTTTAACTAGGTACCTTGTTTCAACTTCTCACAATGTGTTCCGTAATAAAGTGGGGCGCATATGCACTTGTACCCCTTTTCATCACATATATCTTTGCACTTCGCACCATTTTCGCAAGGAGATTTAATCTCACAAACAGGTCCATTCTAGGATAAAAAGGTAGAGAACATGTAGCTTATTAATGAAATTATTGAAAAAACACGATAAGGAATTTATAGAAATCTTAAAAATTTGAGGACATAAACTTTGCTATGCCATGCATCTTTATTCGCCATGTTTCCGTTGAAAATATTTATAATATAGCATAGCTATTAGACCATTTTGAATTTTGAATTTATTTAAAAGAAAACTTTTAAATGTCTGTACTACGACTGCACTCACATTTATTTTCCCATCGTCTGTTGTCATGTACACCTGGCCCTCCCTTTCCGTCAACAGCGCAACGCTCTCGTTGAACCTTCTTTCCAGTAGCTCACAAGTCATCGTCCCACGATTGTAATTCAAAGAGAGACACTTAGGCCAAGAAAGACATTCGAGGGTGCACTGTCGCACTGTCCTTGAAGAAATTGTTTTCATGACTGTCCCTGTGTCAGCAGTATTGTTCAGGATAATGCTGAAGTCAGCGTAGAATTTGCACGGAAGTCTTAATAAGCAAAGACATCTGCTGGTCATCAGTAAGACAAATAGAGTTTGGCATGGTGTAAAGGCCTCTTTCATTTTGAATTTCTGAATTTGAAGTTCACTACTTGATTCAGAATTAATTTGAAACTCTTCTTTAGTATGTAGCAGAAAATTACCAAATGTCTTGTTTGCTTTTCTAATATCAATTAAATATTAAATAATTGATGAGACATTGATATGATAATCTAACCACCAATTAGTGCTCTATCAATTTTCACAATGGCCCACAGGATATTAACAATTTTAAACATATTTTGTTTGCATTTTTAAAAGCAAGCCTAGCAACTCTATTGTTCCTTTGACAACAATGACAAAGATGCATTATGTCGAATGATGCTATGCGGTTTAAGGTCTTATTGCTAACGACCAATGGATGAATTTCAAAAAGTTCCTCCAAACTGTAAGATGTGTTCAATATTACTTTTGCAAGTATATATTCAATCAGAAAGCCTTAGATTATGATCTTTCAAAACTAACTAACTAATTGTGGGGAAAACTAAAACCATAGATCGTGAGTGATAACGGTAAAATACAAGATTGATGTGGAGGATGCTCGAAGGGCTGATGAAAAGTTGCAAATTTACGTGTGTTAAGTGATTAAGAAGTAAGAAAGTGTCTATTGAGAAAGCTAATGTTAGGTTAGGTTAGTTCAAATATGTCAAGGAAAAAAAACGAGCAAAGTGTTGCTTAGTAATTTTTTAAATATGACTTTGTTGGTAGCAACTACGAAAAGCTTGAGCAACACTAGTAGAGGCGAGACGATGAGGTCGCTGCGAAGCACAAGATGTGTTGCTTAGGAGAAGATGTTCTTCTATTTTTGTATCCTTGTTGCCAGAGCCTCAGTAAAAGAGTGGGTCAATGAATGTGTGGATATTTTGACTACCACTGCTCGACCATCCCTTTCACTGAGGCTCTTGTAGTCGGGGTACAATTTTTTGCAATATAGCTTATCCTCCTTTTAGCTTAATTTTTGTTTGCTTATACAGCTCCTCCAGTCAAGATTCTCGCTAGTTTTGATTCCAAGATATCTTATTTCCTTGATTTAGACGCGTGTTATTTTCTCATTGTTAAAATGAAGTTCCAACATGTTGCTATTTATTTTGTACAGCTTTCATCGATGACCGATAATTGTGTATTTGCTTATACATGTTGCTAACTCGCATCCAATTGTAGATGTCTTCAAGCTTATAACTGAGATGTGTATGACGATAATGCAGGTTTTTGGAAGCTGACAAAATTTTGCATAAAGCTGTCGTTCCAAACCTGCACGATTTTCATTATTGTTAAGCCTTGCACGCACACTAGCGATTCATTGTCACCATTGACGATTTTAGTCGCTGACGACTAAATGATTCTACCCGCAAGCTATTAATTTTACTGGCACTGGCCTATTATTTTGGTCTCGATTTCATAACGAGCATCAATTGAATAACGACCACGGATCTATAAGATAGATTTAACTATAGTCTTTTGTCTAGATCAATGATAACGACGGAAATTCACTATTACGTTTTTGCACATGGACATAGGTTTTCTAAGGCATAAGTGTGGTGTGGGAGAACGCTCATGTGCTCAGGAATAACGGAATAACACATTAGATCTAAAATGCTGACTGACCATGCATCCAAAAGCCTATGCTCTAATGGCAAACTCTAGTCTAGCCCGGTAACTTCCACATATACTGCTCCGGGATGCCATTTTCTGGGGTGTCATTTTCAGGTAGAAAATATATTTTTGGGAATATTTTCTGGCAATATCAAACATAAACATGATCTGAAATTGTTTTGCCATATTATTCGAGTAGTTTAGAGACACAATGATGTTAATAGCTGATACATGTTGTCGATACATAACTCATAAGTGTGATCAGACAGCCAAATTCAAACAGTGTTTTTCTACTTTCTAAATGTTCTTTAAAATTTTATAAGTAGAATTATTTTCATCTCATTTTCATCTTATTAATATTAGCAACTGCTGGAGGTAAAATGGTAGGTATCCTCAAAGGAGACAAATAAACCCTTTACGTTAATACCTATATAATAAATGTTTTGTTAAAACCTGACATGCGATATGATAAATACAGTGTAAGAAGTTGTCGTTTGTCTTTGCTAATTGAATTGTGAATTGCTGACAATTCAACAAGTGAGTTATAATGAAATGTAATTATCATGTTCAAAAAATGAAAGTCAAAAGGGAAGGAATGAATATGCTGAGAATCAATACAAAGACACATGGACATTGCTGTGGGATAAAAAACTTTTCAGAAATGAGTAAAACTCATAAAGCTTTGCGCAGAAGAAGTATCCAAATCAGGTTCCCAATTTTCTTGTGTAGTTATCAGCTTCGAAGAAATTGTCCCCAATTCAGAATAGGGAATGGCAGCATCGACTTTTCATGCAGCTCGAATAGGCCCTATGATAGGGAAATTGCATAAAGACAACAGGCCTGAATTGGCTTTAATACGCCATAATTGATAGGCTTTAAAATGTTGATTTTTACCTGCTGATAGAGTTTAAATTAAACAATTTTTTCGTGGTACAAAACTTTAAAGTGGCAATGTTTGTTTTTTCAAAGCCATCTTAGAGTCTAATTTATAATTATTGAAAAATAAAACGATGTATTATCACTTAAAACCAATGCTTGTGGACTGTATAGAATTTTGCAGGAGAAAAATGCTTGTAAATATGGGCCACACTTGGAAACAGCCAAGTAAAAGCAAAAGAGAGTGGTAGATTTCCTTCGTAGCAGTTGTCACAACGTATTCGTGAACTAAAGTATAATTTTGAATGTTGCCTGTCTAGACTATTCACGTTTTTTGTTTGTCTATAGCCGATACATTACTTAAAAGGACGTTACCAGTCGACATGAAAATTCAAGAAATGGCTTTCGCACTATGTTCGTCTCAATAAAAGCCAATTGACACAATTCTTCAACTGATGAAAGTCTTTTCCTATTTATTATACCCACTCGTTGATCGAATTAGGCCAATCAGAAACGCGAGCACATGATTGTTGTGGTTGCCCAATCAGTACCGCTTGCCTATTGAGTCTGTTACAAATGGAGTCCTAAGATTAAAACGAACCCCTTCTGTCTACACAATAGCAATTTTTTTGTTCATCTTCAGATAGATTCCACAACTGCTAAATGGAACGACGATCGGGCTTTATAAAATTCCGAAATATGTAACATTATAGTTTTTTTGCGCACTCTGGGATTTGCAGTAAATGCTGCCTGATAGCAGGATCGCATTTTTTAGTTGCAGTTTTAGATCTGCTACAACTAAAACTACATCTAAATCTACCTCTAAAACAAAAAGTAAAACATGCGATTTTGCTATCGACCAGCATTTCCAGCAATATAATTCTTTGGCTTTGGCAACAAACATTAAAACAGCAACAATGACATCACTCTGGAAGGTGCAAGATCACTTTAAAAGCAATGTTCGTTAACTAAAGTCTCTCTTAATCAACCTTTTCAGCATCGAAAAGATCACCAAATGAAGTCTAGATAATCCTCCAAATTTTTAGATTCCTTTGTCTTATCGAGATCCCCTGCAACAAGAGGACGGAAAATATTCAATCCAGAAATGTAGAAATATTTTAGAAAAAGATAACAGGTAAACAAAATAAAAATAGTATGGTTGTTTCTATTATCATGATTAAGGAAAATCCATATTTTCAAATATATTTGACTCGATCAACTACCAGATGATTTGTAAACAAAGTTTCATCCTTTAAATTTGTATTTGACAAGATTCATGTCATATAGATTGCCTTCATACAGGCTGTAAGCTCTATCATATACTTCTTTAATTGCTCGTTTATTATCATACGCAGTCTATCCTATGAAACTTCATTTGAGAGGAACAAGAAATCAAATGTATTTTAACGATCTCCTTGCTTTAACCTGTGATATTTCAGCTTCATTTCTGAAAATATTATGTTGCCATGACTTCCATAAATTCCATGCCAACCCATGTATGTTGGACTTGTTGTGCTTGTTGTTGGGAAGAGTCCATTTAAATTTGCCTCATGACATGCTTTGTACCACCAGCCTCCTTTATAGGTGTTGGCACAATTCCCACTATATTTATCGTTGTCTTGATCGTATGTTGTGAATTTCATGCCATCATGAAACGCAATGGAATCACCGGCATTACCTATAGAAAAAATATATCACCACGATAGTTAGGCAGCAAGGGTGAAATCTTTACCCCAGAAAGACTCGTGCCTTCTATTTGCTAAATGTTGCCCAATAAAGTGGATATGCATTTGCCTTGGGAACCCAATTAGAGAAGTTTCTGCCTCGGAATGAACCGAAATTTAAATGACAACTTCTTTAGCATGTTATTTAAAAAGAAATTAATGAGTATGCATCAACCATTGTAAATAATAATCAGTTAGGCAAAAGGTAGGGAGATTTCGATTACCTGAGTATCCATGTGAAAGCAGTTTGTAACCAGATGCTTCGTCACCAACTTCAAATGAAGAATACTCTGCATAATACTGAGTTGTTGGACTGTTGCGGTGTTTCATGTCGATCCGTAGAATAGCCCCTCTCCCTGGAGCAGCCAGTCTGTGCAATGTATCAAGTCCAATCCAAAAATTTCCACTCGTATCCCCAAATCCATTTTTGTATGACGCCCAGTTTCGATAAAAGTCGACACTGGCATCTATTCTTCTTTGAAAGACGATCCAATCTTGACTGACATATACAAAGTCACAAAAGACGTTGGCTTTCCAATTGTGATCCGGTTTAATTTCGTAGACTCCGCTTACTGTTTCTCCAGACTTTTTCACATCTCCACAATCTAGCAAGGAAAGATTGATTTTTGATGACTCACTTGAAGCCTCTATTTATGTTGTTTGGTATAAATATTGATGCATAAATTTTAATGAGTGCTCGCTAATCGTTAAGGAAATTACAAACATCTAAACCCTGATAGGAATTGAGTGCAGAATTTTCCTGCCCATTTTTCATTATTCTACTAGTCATTATAAAATACGCAGGCGATACTGTTATCTGCGTAGCTGCTAGAGGGTTCAAAGAAGTAAATGAAAGGAATCAGATGCAATAAAAGAACTTTCAGTCTAATTCAGTGGAAATAAATCGATCTCCGATGTCCGATCTAAAACAGAGAAAAACTGAAGCCCTGTTAATCGGAATAGTGGTGGGAATACGAAAATACACGGAGAATTTAATCGTAGTACGCAAAGATGGTCAAATCAGCATCACTTCAACATACAGTATCTTAGTGTGCAACCAGACCCTTCACTAAACAGTGATTTTCATCATCGGCGTCGCCAAAGGGGGTTGCAGGCGGGTGCAGTTTTTTTCGTCGGTACATTGAAGATGTTTGCCTGGCAAAATTTGCCTATCCATAATGACCGTTCAAGTTCTGTATCCAGACCAAAACCCCGCATAAAAGTGGTCAAATTTTCGAATTTTTTTTATTTATGCTCATAACAATTTACAATAAACACAAGATACAAAACGATACCACGGGAAGCATGGAAGTGCATCACAACCCTGTGGCCATTAACAGTTAACTACAAGTCTGTCCCAAAATAGAGGCAGAATGATGCATGTTGAGGATTAAGATGTTGGGTTCTGCAGGAAAAGCACTCAGTTGTGTTATGTATCATTTATTTCAATATTAGCACAGACTGCAGACACAAACAAAACATAACGATATCAGAATTGCAAAGAACTTAATAATGATCCACTAAAGGGGTAGGACAAAAGCAGAATTTTCAAAAATGCTACGGTGTGTGGATGTATTTTAGCGTAGTCTTGGTAATATCGTCGTTAATTTCATTTGGTAACCATCTCTTTACAAAATAACTTGAACTAGAGCTTTGTTAGAATGCTTTGCTTGATAGGCCATTTCCAAGCAATATTGCCTTGACAGTCCAGAGAATATCTCGTTTCTGAGCATCGTATATGTGATCGATTTGATTACAAAGAAGCATCATAAAACACAGCAACGTAAGGAAAGCAAGCGATTCCCTCTTTTCAGCTTATTCTGTTGCCATTATAATCGTAATACTAGCATTTGCAATACAAAGCTGCTGTACTTTGCCCCAAATTTTACTGGAACTTTAAGACAACGATTTATTTAACCAAAAATGAAGGTTTTAAAATTGAAAATCAGAATGGTATGACCAAGATGAATTGTTTTTTCAGAATGATGATGGTTTTTTCTTCATAGAAGTTAAGCCATTTTTATAAAATTAGGAGTTTAGTACATTTTGCAATCGTCGTTAAACGGTGAATTTTAACTAGGTACCTTGTTTCAACTTGTCACAATGTGTTCCGTAATAAAGTGGGGCGCATATGCACTTGTACCCCTTTTCATCACATGTATCTTTGCACTTCGCACCATTTTCGCAAGGAGATTTAATCTCACAAACAGGTCCATCCTAGGATAAAAAGGTAGATTTTCATAGCTTATCGAAAAAATAGAACAAATACGACAAGAAATCTGAGAAATTAAAGACCAGGGATATACAATGCTTGGTTAAATTGAATAATGTCCCTGTTTGAATATTTGACATGTGGAATAGCTATTTTTTTTGTGGCTTAGCTTTTTTCAAAACAAAACTTTAAAATGTCTGTACTACGAATGCACTCACATTTATTTTTGCATGGCCCTCCCTTTGCGTCAACAATGGAACGCTCTCGTTGAACCTTCTTTCCAGTAGCTCACAATTCATCGTCCCGCGATTGTAATTCAAAGAGAGACACTTAGGCCAAGAAAGACATTGGAGGGTGCACTGTCGCACAGTTCTTGATAAAAAATGGTTTTCATGACTGTCCCTGTGTCAGCAGTATTATTCAGGATAATGCTGAAGTCAGCGTAGAATTTGCACGGAAGTCTTAAGAAGCAAATACATTTGCTGGTCATCAGTAAGACAAATAGAGTTTGGCATGTTGTAAAGACCTCCTTCATTTTGAATTTCTGAATTTGAATCTCACTATTATATATTAAATTGATTTGAAATTCCTCGTTTTACTGTTGCCGATATTTACCAAATGTCACGTTTGCTTGTGTAATATAAATTCAACATTTAATAATTGATTAGACAATGAAATGATAATCTAGCCTACTTCTTACGCCATAATCTGCTAGATATCAATTTTGAAACATATTTTGTCTATAGTTTTAAAAGGCGAGCCTAGCAAATCTGTTGCTCCTGTAACAACAATGACAAAGCTGCCATTACAGTGAATAATATTATACGGTTTAATAAGGTCTAATAAGGCCAGGGACCAATGCGTGAATAACAAAATGTTCTTCCAATCTGTATGATCTCTCAAAATCAGCGGCGGTTGTAGAGAATGCTGGGCCTAGGGCCGAAAACATCTGCGGGGCCATAGGTTTTTTCAACTTGAAGTTTTTCTTGGATGTGGTCGCTGTTAAGCATCATGTGTATTGAGAGGCAAACTGCAAAGCAGTGTAGAAATGACGCCATTAAAAAATTCGGTTTTATATTTTGGAATTCTGGCCCCATAACCTGAACTAACCCCACAAATGCCTCTAAATTTTCAGAATCATTTGAACCTTTCGCAAATCGACTAAGATATTGCCATGTAAAAATGGGCGATTTCACAAATCACTGTAAACTGGCCCTGGTTCTAAAGATTTTGAACCAGGCAAAAACATCAGTAACTAAATAGAAAAGCTTATTTCTTTCATTGGCCATATCTCAGTCCATTTTGAACAGATTCAACTGATTTTGCAAACGTTAAGGTTTTTTGTAAATATGTAGGAATTGGTATTCCTCAGGGCTCGTCTTAGGAGCCTTTACTATTCATCATATTTTGGACATTCATTTGAAAAGTACAATCCTAAAAATAGATGTTATAATGAAACGAATATAAACATAGCCTTTGAAAACCGGCATTACCTTCTTAAAGACTTCCGAAATTGGCTTGAAAATATATCCGATGGGTGCGAATCGCCTTCAAGAACATATCATTTCATTTAATATTCTTTATATACAAACGAACCCTTCGTCAATAAAGTAAAATTTTTATAAATAGAAATATATTAATAATAGGAAACCTTTAAAAATCAATTGGCTGTTCTTCCTGGGAAATGTATTTTGGCTTTGTAGATGTGTTTTAAGTCGTTTTTGGAAACGATCTAGCGTCTGTAGTTCGCGAATTTTAGCACGAGTATCAATTCTTTGGGTGTTGTATAGTGAAAGATATCGTTAGAAATTCTGTCCTAAATCTAGGGGTCCAACGATCTTTACATTGCTTTGTGATATACGTCCATTGCAAGGATCTTGGTTCGTATTTGTCCCATAAGCTTTCAGGAAATTTTTCTAAATATTATCAATATTTTATTTTAATTTAATTTTAATCTAAATAATATTCAATATATCCTATTGAAAAAGATTTTCTAAATTGAATTCTTAATTCTTGCGTTCTTAATTATTGATTAGGAGTATTTTTGTTGGTGTTGAGGAAAAACTAGTTCTTTTCTCGATAAACTCTTGCATACTACATTGGCGTAGGAGGTGACTCACCATAAATGTTTTATAGACCTGCTGTCGTTTTATTTTAGATACGTGGAAATTGCTCGCCGCAAATTAGTTTTGCGTCTACCGAAATACCAGAAACTTCTTCTCTTGAAATCGAATTCTTACCATTCAAAGTGCAAATCTGTTGTCTTTTACTCCAGATCTTCCCTTGATTCTATAAGTACATATTTCTTTTACCAATATGTTATGATAGACTTTGTCAAAAGCCTTTTTGAGATTTAGAAATATAGTAAGATTGACGTAGCTACTGTCTATGCTTTCGTGTCAGAAGTCTATGCTGCATTTAGTGATGTTGTAGTGTAGTATAACTTTCGAAAAGCTTTCCCATTCTTAAGACTTCTGTTTTATACCATAATTCATCGTTTTCTGGCGTGATGTTCTTTAAGCAAATTTGGTCTGGTCTCCGTTCAATGTTTTTATCTAGGCTTAGCCCAACAGATATTAAGTGGCAATTTAAGGCTGCAAGAATCTCATTTTTTGCCAAATGTTTGTCGTTAATTTTAATGCTGAGAAACGGTGTAGATTTGACTTCTTTGTCCAATACTGCTCTCATTGTTTTCCACATTTTCTTTGGATCCCAAGTATTTTTCTCTATCACATTTCTTTAATAATCCCGGACAGAGTTCTTATTTTCTCATGCTACCTTATTTCACTGTCTTGCATAAGCTAACTCTATTGCAGGAATCTTAATAGCTATTTTGTTAGTCTGTCCCTGGCTCCCCTCGATTTTCTAAAGTGGGATGGCAGATAACACGTTTATTGCAGTTTAATTTGGGATGCTCTCTCCATAATAAAACTAACCAAATTAAACCAATTGCGCATAAAGGGCAAAGTCATTTATTCTGGTTTGTCAAAGAGGTCATGACCTACAAATTTTACACGATCTATGTCGGGACAAACCTTCCTGATAAATTCACTAAACGTCCCCAAATTTCTACGTTCAGCACAAGAACCCCTTAACTACTCTTATTACGAAAGTTGAACCAGAATTGCCAAAAAACTGTTACTTCTCTATTGTACAAAACTGGAAAGTTCCCTGGAAAACGCCATAGAAGATCATTCTTTCGTTCAAATTAAGGATTCATCAAGCATACTTCATTGTTAAAAACATTCGGTAACATCAAAGTAGATGATGTAGTTCACGAAAAATCTGTTTTTTCCAGAGCAGGTTCACATCTTATCTGACCAATAGGGATTCCGCAGGGCTCGTGTTTGAGACTCTTGTTTTTCATAATACGAAAAAATGATTCAAAAAACTGTTTAAGAAGCATAATACCAAGTATATATGCTTATGATGTATCTTTAACACCTGAATCAGTAGACCCGCACAAACTCAAAACAAATTAAGAACATGTGCTTGAATACATTTCGATTGAGGACGACTAATAAGCGCAGTTTGAACGCACCAACAGGTGAATGTATAGGTAAAGGTGACAGGAGACCGCTAAGACCGCACTACATAGCAATGTTATGCAATGCAATGTTAATTTAAGATATGATTGCCTAACCTTGGGAAAATGAATAAGAGAAAGTTTTTTAACGACCCTCCATCCTTGATTCAAAGAGCATGTGCTCATTTTTTACAACACACTTTCGATATACACACTAGCATTTCACAAGGTGAGACTATAAAAGCTTTCCTCAATGCCAACAAAAATCATTATGGGGAAACTACCCTGCTGCATATAAAATACAACTGATGGTGATTTTTATTCTCAAACATAATTATATTGCCTTTACACTCTCTCTTGATAAGAACAATTATATAGCAATGCCCAGATGGGGCGTAGTTGAATATTTTGGAAAAGATTTATCGCTGACATAATCTTCATCTGGCAAACACAAGTTTGAAAACCTAGAGGAATTTATATAATACACCCTTTATCATCCACAAAAAATAGATATAAAAACCGTGTATAGTCGACTCTTAAAGTCATGCTTCTGGTTACAGTTAAAGCAAATTTAGACCCAAAACTATTCCATCACATTTTGACCCAAATAGCCCCGTCTTAGTTTTCTGGCAAGCGCTCCTTGTCTTTTTAGTAGAGTTTTTAAATAAGACACAAATATCAACCAAGGGCGTAACCATAGAAATTAGTGTAACACTTAAGGTGTAACACTAAAGAAATTAGTGTAACAAATATAGAAACCTATTTCATCTAGCCCAAGATCACGCTGGCAGTTTCTACTTCGTGTCACTGGTAGTCTGTATCATAACTTTTGGAGTAGACAAAATTACAAGCATAACCGAGCAGCAATCAATCCGATTTGAAGAAACGTTTTTCGCACGATTCTTTGTTTCACCATTTGGCTACAAATCTTCAACTTTTTAACTCCAAGTTTCATTGTAACTTTGTCTCCTCACAAGAAACATCCCGCCAATGCTCTTTCGTGTTTAGCAGATGCTCAATCTGATAGTATTGACTTTAATACGATGAAACATTTCCTTAATGGATCTTTTCTTTTTCAAACGTGGGTGAAGTGGATATGTCATCCACTTGAAAGTGCCGAAGGCGCTTGTCTACTTGCATTGAAACAAAGCACCACTTGAAGGGAGTTGCAGAGATACAACACAAACAGACTTACAGACAAAATCAGATTATTGAATCAAAGAAATAACTAATTATCAGAGCCATGTCAAGTACAGGAGGGTTCAATCTGTTGGTCAAACGTGTATCATGTGCGTTGTGAAAAACTGTGAGGAAGGGTGGTCTAAGGGTGGACATAGAATCTTGAAAATAGGGTTGCTTTTTTACTCGGTCAAAGAAAACACAAAAAGGGTAGGAATTCACAGATAGGATGTTACAGATATTTTTTTGGCAAAACAAAGGAAATTTTGCAGTAGCATCTAGCTATGTCTATTGTTCTAAACCTAGATAAGAATTTTAAGCCTTTGTTTAAGTCTTTGTTAGTTTGTACTCATTACAAAGTATTATTTTGAATTTGACACAACTTTTCCTTTTGTTATAAAACATGAACCATGAGGAATTATTGTTAAAATCAAATTTAGTGAATTCTGCTCTCTAATTTTTCTTTAGACATCAGTTTCAAAAATAGAATAGTTCGTACATGACATGGTTTAAAAAATACTTGATCAAGCTTGAAAATTCCCAGTGAAAAGGGTAACAAAATCTTGGGAAAGTCAGAGAAAAGGGTAACCTTTATGTAAACCAGAATCAGAGATTAGGGTCCAGTTTCTACTTTCGGGAACACACATGATATTCATTGGATCAACTGACTGAGCCTGCCGGGTTGCAAATGACATTTTATCATATCTACATTGACATCATTTTGTCCAAATAAATGTGTTTAGAAATTTTTTACACCAGCTTTGATGCTGGCAACAGCAACAACAAGTTTACAATAAAAGGTGCAAAATCATTTCAAAAGCAATTTGTGTTAAAGTTTATCTAAAAATCCTCTTGTCATCAGCCAAAAAATCACCGCACCAAGACAATTCTGTATAATCCTCCATTTTGTGGATTCTTTTGTTTTATCGAGATCCTCTGCAACAAGAGGATGGAAAATATTCAATCCAGAAATGTAGAAATATTTAAGAAAAAGATAACAGGTAAACAAAATAAAAATAGTATGGTTGTTTCTATCATCATGATTAAGGAAAATCCATATTTTCACATATATTTGACTCGATCAACTACCAGATGATTTATAAACAAAGTTATATCCTTTAAATTTGTATTTGACAAAATTCATGTCATATAGATTGCCTTCTTACAAGCTGTAAGCTCTATCATATACTTCTTTAATTGCTCGTTTATTATCATACGCAGTCTATCCTATGAAACTTCATTTGAGAAGAACAGGAAACCAAATGTATTTTAACGATCTCCTTGCTTTTACCTGTGATATTTGAGCTTCATTTCTGAAAATATTATGTTGCCATAACTTCCGTAAATTCCAAGCCAACTCATGTATGTTGGACTTGTTGTGCTTGTTGTTGGGAGGAGTCCATTTAAATTTACACGGTGACATATATTGTACCACCAGGCTCCTTTCCAGGTAATGGCACAATTCTCACTTGAAGCTTTATCGTTGTCTCGATCATATGTTGTGAATTTCATGCCATCATGAAACGCCATGGAATCACCGGCATTACCTATAGAAAAATATATCATTACGATAGTTCGGCAGCAGGGGGGGGGGGGGGTTGGGTTTACCAAAAAACGGACTCGTTGTTTTCCAGTTTTGCCATTGCTATCAAATGATTTTGATTTACAAATAAAGAAATAAGTTCTTTCGCATGTTATTGATAAAGAAATTAATGAGTATGAATTAACTCTAATGTTGAAATTAAAGAGATTTCGATTACCTGAGTATCCACGTGAAAGCAGTTTGTAACCAGATGCTTCGTCACCAACTTCAAATGAAGAATACTCTGCATAATACTGAGAGGTTGGACTGTTGCGGTGTTTCATGTCGATCCGTAGAATAGCCCCTCTCCCTGGAGCAGCCAGTCTGTGCAATGTATCAAGTCCAATCCAAAAATTTCCACTCGTATCCCCAAATCCATTTTTGTATGACGCCCAGTTTCGATAAAAGTCGACACTGGCATCTATTCTTCTTTGAAAGACGATCCAATCTTGACTGCCATATACAAAGTCACAAAAGACGTTGGCTTTCCAATTGTGATCCGGTTTAATTTCGTAGACTCCGCTTACTGTTTCTCCAGACTTTTTCACGTCTCCACAATCTAGCGAGGAAGTATAGTTAAAAAATTTCATCGGTGACACACTAGAGCCGGTCTTGATGCCGTTTGCTACAAATACCGTAAATCCTTTTCAATTTTTATATGTTTGAATGGGCGCTTATTCGAGGGAGGGGCTAATACCAGGGGGGGTTATAAAATTACTCTAAACATTAAAAAGACATTGGTAAAAATCTTGTTTAGTTTTGTAGAAATTTCTTTATGGACATTTCTTCAAATCCTACCAAAAGTATGAATTTGTTGTGGTGATTCAATAGAACACCATTGAACTTTAAAGCAGAAACGCATAAAAGCAGCAAATAAGAAAATTTATCTTTTGACAAGACCGTCAATGAGTGAGATACCCCCTTTTGTCGGAAAAACTACTTTCTTACCCTTCCAAAAAAATGTATTTGGTCTCAACTTTGATTTTAATGCCAAGTTCAAGAAGAGTTCATGTCGTTTTTGACTCTTGATGCAAAGATCCGAGGATATCCTAGCAACGATTTGGACATAGAATCTGCAAGGTCTATGTAGGATTATTTCAAGACGTTATGGTATAAATCGTACTTTTATATAGCGCAAAGCAGCAAGTTTTCTAAAATTATGATACAACATACAACATTATGATGTATGAAAATTCATGCAGTTCCTCCGCATTATCTTATTTCTGATAAGAGCAAAGGTGGTTCTGTGGTATTAGTCCTGGTTAATCCAAAAATTCCTCAATGCTTATCCATAATGGCCGTTCAAGTTCTGTATCCAGACCATAACCCCGCATAAAAGTGGTCAAATTTTCGAAATTTTTTATTTATGCTCATAACAATTTGCAATAAACACAAGATACAAAACGATACCACGGGAAGCATGGAAGTGCATCACAACCCTGTGGCCATTAACCGTTAACTACAAGTCCGTCCCAAAATAGAGGCAGAATGATGCATGTTGAGGATTAAGATGTTGGGTTCTGCAGGAAAAGCACTCAGTTGTGTTATGTATCATTTATTTCAATATTAGCACAGACTGCAGACACAAACAAAACATAACGATATCAGAATTGCAAAGAACTTAATAATGATCCACTAAAGGGGTAGGACAAACGCAGAATTTTCAAAAATGCTACGGTGTGTGGATGTATTTTAGCGTAGTCTTGGTAATATCGTCGTTAATATCATTTGGTAACCATCTCTTTACAAAATAACTTGAACTAGAGCTTTGTTAGAATGCTTTGCTTGATAGGCCATTTGCAAGCAATATTGCCTTGACAGTCCAGAGAAGATATCGTTTCTGAGCATCGTATATGTGATCGATTTGATTACAAAGAAGCATCATGAAACACAGCAACATACGGAAAGCAAGTGATTCCATCTTTTCAGCTTATTCTGTTGCCATTATAATCGTAATCCTAGCATTGGCAATACAAAGCTGCTGTACTTTGCCCCAAATTTTACTGGAACTTTAAGACAACGATTTATTTAACCAAAAATGAAGGTTTTAAAATTGAAAATCAGAATGGTATGACCAAGATGAATTGTTTTTTCAGAATGATGATGGTTTTTTCTTCATAGAAGTTAAGCCATTTTTACAAAATTGTCAGTTTAGTACATTTTGAAATCGTCTTCAAACGGTGAATAATAACTAGTTACCTTGTTTCAACTTGTCACAATGTGTTCCGTAGTAAAGTGGGGCGCAGATGCACTTGTACCCCTTTTCATCACATGTATCTTCGCACTTCGCGCCATTTTCGCAAGGAGATTTAATCTCACAAACAGGTCCATTCTAGGATAAAAAGGTAGAGAACATGTAGCTTATTAATGAAATAATTGAACAAACACGATAAGGAATTTATAGAAATCTTAGAAATTTGAGGACATAAACTTTGCTATGCCATGCATCTTTATTCGCCATGTTTCCGTTGAAAATATTTATAATATAGCATAGCTATTAGACCATTTTGAATGCTTTTATGGCTTGGCTTTATTTAAAAGAAAACTTTTAAATGTCTGTACTACGACTGCACTCACATTTATTTTCCCATCGTCTGTTGTCATGTACACCTGGCCATCCCTTTGCGTCAACAATGGAACGCTCTCATTGAACCTTCTTTCCAGTAGCTCACAATTCATCGTCACGCGATTGTAATTCAAAGAGAAACACTTAGGCCAAGAAAGACATTCGAGGGTGCACTGTCGCACAGTCCTTGAAGAAATTGTTTTCATGACTGTCCCTGTGTCAGCAGTATTGTTCAGGATAATGCTGAAGTCAGCGTAAAATTTGCACGGAAGTCTTAAGAAGCAAAGACATCTGCTGGTCATCAGTAAGACAAATAGAGTTTGGCATGTTGTAAAGGCCTCTTTCATTTTGAATTTCTGAATTTGAAGTTCACTACTTGATTTTGAATTGATTTGAAACTCCTCGTTGGTGTGTTGCCGAAATTAACCAAATGTCACGTTTTTTGTCTAATTTTAATGGAATATTAAATAATTGACGAAACATTGATATGATAATCTAACCCACAATTGATGTTCTATGTAATTTCACTATGACCCACATGATATTTACGAGGGTCACTCTAAAATTATTGAGATATTCAAAAACCGCATCGTGTTCAAATTTTGACAGTTTCCCAAAATACTGTCCACTGGTTTAAAGATACGATTGTCAAAGCAGCTGTGTGAGCGGAAGCGTTGTCATGGTGCCAAAGTAGACCTCTAAAGCCGGTCCTTGGACGTTTATTTCGCCAAACTTCTAGAACATGTGGTATGCAGTGGTTAACATACCAATCCGCGTTCACTGTACGACGGTCTTCAACTTGAATGGTTGCGACATGACCCGTCTTTGAGAAAAATGACGCAATCATCCTTTAGCCGACGCTTCTGGATCGCCGAAATTTTTGCGGCGGGTTTTCACCTGGAAAGATCCAAATTGAGAATTGGCGCTTTGTCACCGGGTCAAATTGGTAAACCCAACTTTCAGCGCCTGTCACAATGTCATAAACCCGTTTCGACTTCCCTTCATTAAATTTTTGCTGCATAAACTGGCACCAATTGACGCGCTGCTCTTTTTGCTCATCTGACAAGCAATGTGGCACCCAGTGGGCAGCCACTTTCCGAACTTGCAGGTTTTCATGCAAAATTGTGTTCAATGCTGCTGATCCAATCTTTACGCTATCCTGCATCATAGAAAAAGTCATCTAACCAGCATAGGTTCCAAATCTTTGATTGGCTGAGCGACAAAAATTCTCCATACTCCATAAGCCAATCAGAATTCAAGAATGTGACAACAAACGTGTCTCGCAGCTAGATTTAGGCCTATTTTGGACGTTTTTACCACTATCCACAAAAAAATAAACGTGTAAAATGTGCTGAAAGATAACCTAAAATTTTTTTAAAAATTGAATCTTTAATAAACTGCCGTTGTACCCAGTCAAAATTCTTCTGCGATCGTCAGTTACGAATGCTTGAAACAGTCCCTTCAAACCCTTATAATAATTAGCGGGAGGGATAGCATAAAAATTACAGTTTTCAATCTTTAAAAGTTGTTTTACCCACTTAATTAACAAGAGATGAGAGAAAACCACGACATTGGGGGGGGGATTATTGCTTTCTAGCTGAATGACTTTCAAAGGGGGGCCTCAGTGATAAAAATAACGAATGGTGTTTAAAGGGGTCACCTTTTTCGATCACTGAGGCTCTGGTACCCAGGGTAGAACTTAATGAAATATCTGAGTTATTCAAGAAATATCTAAGCTATTCAAAAAAATCTTGGTATGTAATTTTCCAGTCAAAACATAATAGGGGTTGATGTTTTTCTAATTATTGGTTGAGCAGCCAGGTTAATTGATTGTTTGCGCAGCAACCAAGATGGTGACATCAGTAGCATAGAAAGGGCCAGGCACCACGCTGCCATTGGGCTAACAGGGGCTATAGCCCCTCCACCTTTTTGCAATAATAGGTTCGAAAACATTTTGGAAACATTTGATAGTATTCTCCTATACTAAGGAGTACGCCCTTTTCAGCCCTCCCGCATTTTGACTGGTGCGCGGTCCCTGGACAGGGCTGACGAAACGTTAATGAAAGTGGGGGGAGAGGCGGTGTGTTTAGATTGTTCAGATGTGTAATCAAGGCCACCACCATGGTTAGGAATTCTAGCCAAATTCAAGAAAAAGTTTCAAAATATGACATTATTGGGATGGCGAGAAATGCATCTAGAATACTTGCCACATCAAGTTTGTCGAAAGGAAGATCCTAGGCAATACATGTAAGCTTTAATTTACAATAATTTCCCACCCCCTAATAGTTTCCAATTACCAAAAAGCCAAGGTCTTAATCTCAACTTTTAGCGATGATGAACATATGACGACATAAAAACTCACGTGATACTGAACCAACTCGATTCGTTTGCAAAAGCAGAGAATTTAGCGCGCCTCCGTGAAGCGGTCATGACTAACGACTCGTTGACTACCGCCCGATCAAATATTCTGCAGGATCAGCGAATTAAGGAATTGGAGGGGCAAGTTGATTTACTTGTTTCATTGGCTTCAAAGTCAAAATCAGCTTCAAAATGCCAGTTTTCAAACGTTCATGCAGTTTCACCCAACCTTTCTGTTGAACAAGCTGTTGTAAAAGGGAACCAGCAGCCTGTAACAAGAAGTGAGCTGCTTGATTTTCAAAACAATGTTTTGGCAGCCCTTAATGCAAAATTTTCTTCGTTTAACAACCAAAATGGCAGGTCAAAGTTTCCTCAGAAAGATAATCGTCATTTCTCACGTGGTCGAAATTTGTGCGAAATGTTACCCTAGCCTCCTTTTGACTTCGTTGACGTGGTTTGTTAAATGGGAATTAATCGTTTAATTCGAGTTAATACCCGCGGGGAAAGTGCGCAGATTCCCCTTTTCTAGAATCGGGTGGTCCCACCAGGGGCGAAACTTCACTATTTTCATTAGGGGGGTATGAAGCTTAGTTGCCCGACGAAAGGGCGTGGCATGCTTGATGAAAGGGCGTGTCCTACATGAACTTCATTTTTAGAGCACATCGCCTCAAGGGTTGAAATCATCGGGAAGCCCGAGAGATGGTCTTTAGACTCAGGCTGTTTGTTTTAAGTCAAAAAATATGCCTCTAGTTTTTCTGGTGTTGGCTATAAACATTTGTTTCCGAAAAGCAAGCATTTGTAAGGCCTGTCTTTTCTATAAAAGAAAAAAGTCTTCACTTTCTAAATCACCTAGCTATTAAGAGAGCAATTCAAAAAAGAGATTGAAATAGGGTCTCAATTTTATCAAAGTTGAACACCAAAACACAGCTTGGAGATTTCGGAATTTAGAAACAGCTACGCAGATTACAATGTTTCAACAAAAAAGAGCTTCAGTTGCATTCTCTGAGTTTCATTTTCAATTTTCGGTTGCTCTAGAAGAATTTCAATATTTTTAAACACCCAAGCACAAAGTACGTATATCTAAATTCACCATAACAAAATCCCTCAAGCAAAGAAAAGTTTTTTATTGGAGGTATTTTACAGGTATACCTATCTTCAAAGCTCAATTTTCATGTTTTCGTAATCATGGATATTGTTCAGAAATAGAATAAACTCGAAAGATTTTTGCAATTCATATCTTAACTAAAATTTCTTGATAAATTTTATATTATTTCCCGCTTGAACTGATTAAAACTTTCTGTTACTTGTTATGGTTATTCAAATTTTTTTAGTTAAAAAACTTTGGCGTCTGTATGACCATTTTCTAGCGAAGGGTGCAATACTTTCAAACAGTAAGTGTAAAACCTTAAGAGAATTTTGGGGCATATCTCCTTTTGGATGTATTGTTGTGAAATGTATGATTTCATAAATGAAAGTTTCATACATTTGGAAAAGAAAATATTGATTGGTTTTCTCAACAACGTATTCCGAGATGGTATATCCTTCATGCTTTGATTCATGATGCTTCTAACTGTCTCCGAGCTCCGAGGCATGATGGAAAATTTAGAAATCACAACAAAAGATTTTGAAAAAAGCTCACTTGTTTTGCAAAAAGTATGGGGGAGGGGTATACACAGTGTTCATTTCCTTCTCACATCAAACAAACTTTACTTTCCGTCTATACTTTTGCTGTCGATCAATACTTCAGACTTCATCTCGAGGCGAAGCTAAACATGTGCGCGTTGAGCTCCAGACGAAAGCGCTGATCGGTGGACGGACGAAAGACAGAAATGTATATATGTTGCTGTTCCTTGCCTCGTTTCTGTTTTGTTTTCCCAACTGGGAGGAGATCACTGATCTAAAAAAAAGACTGGATCGAGCAACCAGCGCTTTGTTGTGAAGCACCATTGAAAACAGCCGGCGCCATGACAGTGTGACCCAAACGAGCTGTGGAATGACTTGGGGCTTAGTAAAATATTACTATAAATTTCGCAACGAAATCTTCCGCTTTACATGAACGAAGGTAAGTTTCTATCAAGAAAGCAGTTTTGTTTTGTTTATTTTCTAACCAAACTGATAAACTAGAGATATTTCTAGTGAATAACCCTTTGGCGACTCAATCAGCGAAACAGAGAAATTTGATTTTATTCGTTTACTTTTAGATATGTTAAATAGATTGAGGCGGCCTAAAGCGATTTTAACTTGGGTGCTAAAAACCAAAACATGCTTATTCACCTTTGGAAAATATGGGGATTTAATTGTTGCAAATCTTACCGTGTGTGTGCATAGGCAGATAACCAACCTAGTAGATTTGGTGGTTTTTAAAAAAACCGTTTAATTTGGGCACCAGTTAAAGACAAATGTCTACTGGTGCTTGAACAAGACAAGCTTGCTCAGTTTCTTTCGAATTTTTGGCCCAGATGCTTCTTGATTTTTTGACTTTCCCAGATGGTGGAACCGTATCTTGCAATAACACTTGATGATTCCTGAAATTAAAGCAAAGACATGGCTATCTCCAACTGAGCATTCAAGCATGTGATCGTCTAGTTCTCTGAAAACTTTTGAAATATCAAGGTCTTGCAGAACAGACAAAGCAATGGCATCTGGAATTCCTTTCTGAACTGGTAGGTTCCCTTTTGTTGTTGCAAGCATTCTTTGGAATCGGCGCTCTGTTTCATTGCATATTAAAATTGTGCTGGCTGAAGCTTTAAAGAGACCACCCCTGTCTTTCATTTTCATGAAATTAGTTGGTGGGTTGCCAGAGATGGAACCAAGTGCATCACAACATGTCATGCAAGCATTCAATTTCTTAACCATCTTGACAACATAACCAGCTATGTATGAAATTGCAGCCTCTTTGTATTCTGACAACAATGCCATATTTGGTGTGTCACTGTAGTCATGGTCTTCTTGCAATGTAGGTCTTTCAGTAAGATCATATTTCTTTATAAGTGCCACATTTGTTAGTGAAAGCTGTTGTCCTGATACTGTGCATGTGTCACCAACTACATACAGTATGCTTGTTTTGTCCTGCTCATCACAGTTCCCACGACCTCCTTGTATGGCACTTCTCATTAGCAGCCTTTTATATGCTGCAGTGAATTGCTCTGTAGTTGGATTGTTGTTACAACCTCCAGCAGAACGAATAGCTCCAAAAAATAACTCTAAATGATCTTGGCTGAACTTGTACATCAGAAGGTATTTTAATGGTGCAGCTGCATCTTCAACCAGTGTCTTGAATAACATTTGTGTGCTCCTGATTGCAACTAGAAATCCTATAAAGCCAGTTTTCCTTTGTGTCTCATACATATGCTTACCTGTTGTATTTTTTAGACCACAAATGTAATCAAAGGCTTCTTCAAGAAATTGGTTCCAATAATCCTTGTTGTTGAATCTAAGAGCTGATTTGAAACCCTTGGCAAGAGGACTCCTGGAGTTGAGCACATCAAAAAGCCTATCAAAAACTCGAATAAACTTGACAGTGGCTGAGGAACCCTGAAATTGTTGCAGCTTGAGAACATTGGCACAATATTCAATAGCATCAGCAACACTAGAGCTAAACGTCTGTGCCGCAAGATTTACTTTCATTTTTTGTTGTCTCCAATGGATATGTGATGCCTTGAGTTTGTTACCAAGTCTTAAACCCTCTGACTCCTGTAGCTTGTGAAGAGCCTCTACATATTGCCATGAGATTTTGTTGTTGTTGTGATCAACAAGAATGCCACCCTCAGCAAGGGTGTTACGAACAAGCTTAAGCATATGGCAAACATCTAAGAATATGGTGACCTCATGTTGAGAATCTATGGGGTGGGGGAAACTTGGTCGCAAAGATGCAGGAACAAAACTGGCACCAAGCTCTGCTGCCATTTTGAAATGACAGGATGGACCATCAAATGTTACAGAGACAACACAAGCACCAGTATCCCACAACCTCTGGAGACATACATTAACAAGATTAGCACGTTCACTGCCACTTAGCCCATCAACAAAAAAATAGCCACAAGGAACTTTCCAGTGCCCATTGACACAAACAGCCATCAAAACCAATGCATCTTTCGCCAAAGGAGCAGTGTCATCTAGCTCAGCACCATTACCCAAGTCAACATATCCTGAGTAATTGGTACCATTCCATGTAACCTGTTTCCTAATTGACATCTCATCCAGCATTAAAGCAATTACTACCCTATTGCCCTTAACTGCTGCTGTTTCAACCTTTGCTTTTATAGCATCAAACGCAGGCTTAGTAAATCCTGGCTGTGCTGGAATTTTGCCATACCATCTTCGAATTTGAGCTTGGTGTGGGAGGGCAAGGTTAAATGCTTTCCTTACAAACTCGTAAGCCTTGGCAGAATAAAATTGCAAAGTCAAAGCAAATGATTGCAATTGGGCTGGATACTTGCACCCTCTCCTGTTTTTGCCAGAAAGAATCCTCTTCATCAATGCAAGCTGGACACCAGAAAGAGACTGTTTCAGTTGCTCTTCACAGTTTTCAGAGATGAAATTCCTCTTCCTGAGCTCCTTGATAACAGCCTTCAAAGACTTTGTTTTTGCTGCCAGACGTCTAGACTTTTGTTTGGCTACTTTCAACCTTTTGCGAAGCTTTTCAATTTCTTTTTGCTTTTTATGAAGTTCATGGTTCAGCTTCCTTGGTGACTTGACACAATAATTGCCATGATCATTTTTAAAAAATTGCTGTATTGTTGGCAAACAAATGTCATTCCCATTTTGTGGCTCTTGCAGTTGACTGCATTCTGGCTCAGGTGTTTGAAGAGAACGATTTGGTGGTTTTCTTGCCTTTGTAACCTATAGGATAGAGAGTATTGCTAAATGTTAATTATTTGTATCTAGCAAATATCATTATGGTATATTTAGTTTCATGGTAAAACCTGGTATTGATAATCTTCATTGATCTTAAAAATAAACTTGGATTCGCAAAATTTATTCATTACTGCCACTGTTTGATAATATATTAGCACACAAATATTTGCATTTAGCTGAAATTTTCACTGTTTGATGATATATTAGATCAAAATTTTTGAAGAACCAAGATGAGTCTTACATCTTATTGTAGAAAACTAAATTAAATGAAATACAATTGCCTTCTTAAGATGTTTTGGAAACTTTTTGAATCGTGTTGGCACAGCATTTGGTTTCAACTTTGTGTTCTGCTCATTCCTGTCCATGTATTCTTCACTGAAATGATCAGAGCAGATTCTTGAATATTTGGAGGGCTTCCAGTCGTCTCGATGCATGCTAACAAGCCACTGCCTTTTCCTTTCATCATCAATTGGAAATCTGTTTTAAAAATATAAAATAGAATATTTTCAAGAAAAGTGGGGAAAAGTGTTTTTAAAAGTGCAGAAGGCCCTGCCCCTCCACTTGATGTGAGATATTTTGTCCAAACCTGATAACCAACTGTTCTTCATTCATGTTTTTAAGACTTAGTTAAAAAAAGTTTTTTAAACAACCAACGCAAAGGCCATGATACAACTTTTTGTTTGGGGAAGAGCCAGCCCTGATAAATAAGTGTCATAACAGCCATGTTACAAAATAAAAGTAATTTACTTATGCTACTTAAGTTTTTTTTAGGGGGGGGGGCAAGGCCTTTACCAGATAGTGCCAAGTCACTATGCAGAACCGCCAATATAAGGATTAATTTATAGAGAAGCAGTAAAATACAAACTTACGAATGAAATGTTCGCGGAAATTGCCTCTTAAGTGTACTTTCTTCGTCATTACTCCCTTCGCTGTCACTTCGATTGACTAAATCTCCGTCGGCTTTTCTTTTTCTCCGTTTGTTACAGCCAAAAGCGCAGCACTGTGTACCTCTACTCGCCATTGCAACGTACTTACTACAATTGATTTTCCCGCGTTTTGGGTCACACTGTCATGGCGCCGATCTGAATTAATTGGCTTCAACAAAGACTTGGCGAGAACAATAGGTTGCTCTATCCAGTCTTTTTTTTAGATCAGTGGAGGAGATTGAAAAAAAGATGGGGGAAAAGACCATGAATTAAAAAACCAACCTAGGGCAAAAAGTAGCAATAAAAGTGCGACCTAAAGAAAATTTCCAGATTTGCCCGACAGATACACTGGCAGCCATAAATTTGCCCGACAAAATCTGCTTTTTCGAAGATTGGGGGGGTGCAGCACCCCCCATACCCCCCCAGTAGTTTCGCCCCTGGGTCCCACACGTATATCCTTAGTAGGCTGTGGATATCGTGTTACCTAAGCTATTTGCTAATCACCTTGTGGTATTTTCTAGGTGGTCTTTTCCTGGCATATTTCTTTAAGTACAGTGATGCAGCTAGGGTCATGTCATATTTTGCAGCAAGACTCACGCGTTGTTTGCACGCGTTTTTTCCCCTCCCATCCCTGTCCCCTTGTACTCACTTCTCCTCCTGCTTATATCCCGTCATATACTTCCTTCTGCCTTCTCCTGTCTCACTTCTTCTCACACAGTCATTCGATTGTGTGACAGGTGTATCAGTCTGATTATCGGGGTAAAAAACTGAGGCAGTTTTTTCCCTGGAATCAAACACCGACCATAAAATTGCGTCATTGCTCAGGCAAGACAAGGGCTGATGCACCAAAAGCCCAAAATGTTTTTCCTGAGATTAGGGTGTTGTTTATCATAACTAAGGGGCCCCCGCGATGGAATTAAGTGCTGTTGATAGCTTTTCTTTGGTTTGAATAGAAAGGAATTTTTATTGCTGTTTTTTGTTTACCCTTCGTTTTGTTGTTTTTTTTGCTGTTGAGTCTTGTGGGGTGGAGTATTTTTTGAACGCCGAAATCGAAAGAAGCTGGAAATTATCGGAAGAACTGCAATAACGGACTTATATGGAATTAACTCGCGTATTTATGGATTGATCAAAGGACTATCGAACCTACGAAGGAACGTACATAATATCGAAGACTTCAGGTGAAGAACTTCCAGTTTAATTCTCGACCTATTTCTAAATTTATGATTACTACGAACCTACTCTAAAGATATCGATGCTTGGCTCAAGGTTTCTGAATTGATGGCTTATTTGTATTTATTATTCTTTGAGATTTGAGATTGATTTAGTTTAGTGATTAGTATTCTCGTTTGATTTATTCATATTTGATTATTATACAGTCCTCTAGTCGTTTATAATGGAATTATGAATCTCTTGAATCAATTTCGAACCCCTCTGGGTTATATCTAGCCTGCCAGCCCTTCGGCTCGATTTTGAACCTATGCAGGTTAAGTTACAAAATTTACGTACAACACCCGCGTGGGTCATGTGACATGCTATTGTCGTTCGCAATCTTTCCAAGCTCAAAGCCAACAATTTTCCAGGCCAAAACCGCAATCCCAGTCAAAGCAATATGCCACTGGTATCGTTCATGGAAATTTAAACAGGTCAGGACCTTCCCACTGGGGTCAGTGAAGGTCCCTTCAAACAACTCTGGTGGAAACCCCAATTTATCTAATTTTGATAGGGATATTGACTTACAGAAATGGACTGCACAGCGAAAACAGATGTCGAATATTTCTTGGGAAAAGGTAGACAATGCGATTAAGAAAAATGACACTGTTTCTTTTGATGTTATTAACCTGCATCAAAACATTCTACTGACGATAAAAATGTGGAATTAACTCAACGAATTCCTTCGATTTCGTTAACTAGCTACGATTGTCAATCAACACCATCAAACGTATCTATTTGGGGGGTCGTGTAAAACCACTGAGTTTACGAGGGTTTTACAGGCTTGTGTTCGCAGATTCGGCAGTAAAAGAAAGTACAAAATTCAATAAGCGTGTTCTGATTTCTTGGCTCGACGGTTCTTATAGTTTCATCTAATTCAACAACGACTAAACGGGTCACTTCGGCAAAACTGGTATGCTTCAAACTTCTTGAAATAACAACGGCTATCCGAACATCTGAAATCACGTCTAAACCTTAGCGACTTAATTAAACGACTGAATTACTCACAAAAGCCAACGAATATTTTACTCAACAGCAATTAAGATAATTAGGACAGTTATACAAAACAGAACAAAGGAGCTGATCACAAGACAGGATGTTACATGGAAATAGGCCAAGATGCGAACAAAAGTCAAGCACGCAAATGAAATTCAAACAGCAAACAAGCAAAAGTTTCTTTAACAAAATTCTGTCCTTTTACATAACTCTCCCCTTCAAGGACAAGCGTCCTCGCTTGCTTCAAGTGACTCCATTCCAAAATTGTTTGGTACCGCTTGGCGTGCTATGTTTCCTGACAATCTTGTTTGCTTCCCCTGCTCTTTGGTAATAGCTGCCTCCCCTATTTGCATCTCCTTTATAAATCGACTGTTCTGGTATGACACAATCTTCCTGTTCATTGGGTGCGATTTCGTTATTTTCAAATTCAAACCTTTTTTGTCCCCTATCTTGTCTCGCAACATTTTCCCTTTTTCTGTGCATTATCTCTTCTACTTGACGTAAAATACATTTCAAGTTTTCAAT